ATTATATTTCATAATTGAGTGAGACCACTAAAGTTTCAGTCCAAAGTCTCTCTCTCCTTCCTGACCAAAAACAGACCGTCCGAGAGTGACTAATTAAATCAAAAGACCCTGTCAAACTCTGATTGGCTGGTGGTGGCAGGGTTTCGGTTCTGATTGGCTGGCTGCTGGGGCATGTGACCTCTCCTGCGTGGTGGTGCCAGATACTCAAACATGGAGGTGTTGTGCGTGGAGAGCATGGTTTTGAGGTCAGAGGGCATGGGGTCGGACCAGAAGAAGTCGTGGTTGAGAGCGTCGTCGCTGTCAATTCTCTGAGCCGGATCCAGAACCAGCAGTTTGTCGATGAGATCCAGAGCGTACGGGTCTTTCACATAAGCCTTGAGTCTGTCCTTCACCTTCCGCTTCTGGCCTTTAGGAAGCTCCATCTTCTGATAGAGTTCATACTTCTTATCCACATCGGGCCAACCCTGAGACAACACAGAATACATGTCAAAAATATGCAAATAAAAACATAAAACTGTTAAAAAATAAATCTAGAACTTGAGAAAAGGAAAATAAAACTAGCATGTGTGTGTAAAAAAAATTATAAAAATGTTTTGGTCCTATGAGCACCCAATACAGCCAATCATACAAATCTTAACTAGCTTAGGATACTTCTTCAGCTTTCTTAATCAAGGAGCCAAGAGCATTTTTAATACTTATGGAGCTTTGCAAATCAAACTTATTCTTAAATCTAGGATTAAGAGTAAAACTGTGTAATTAAGTGGCTTTATACATATGGCCCCAGATCACAAATGGACACTTCGGACACATTTGAAACATGGTAATATCAGATAAAACAGTAGTCGTTCTCGGGTGACTCTTTGTGATCTGATCAACAGATGTAAATGGATTTCTAATGTGTGTGTGTGTGTGTGTTACCTCAGGAGTAATAGAGCCACACAGCTGGCTTATGAGGGTGAGCTGATGTTGTTCTGTGTTGCCCTGCATGATGGGGCTTCTGGTCCACATCTCCGCCATGATACACCCTCCACCCCACAGATCTATAGGAGGCCCGTAGTCTCTTTCCCCTGAAAAAAACAAGCAAAAAACAAATACACAAAGTGAGAAACAATCAACTTAATCCCACATAAAAATGTTCAAAAACAGGACCAGTAGCCGTTTAAAAGAATTATATATAAATTTCTTGTCACACGTGATAAACAGTAAAAAAATTCACCTGTCGACTCTTTTTAATTAACTTTTTGCCTACTCTATTATGAGTAGTGGGTCACGATATATCATATTGACGATCTGGTCAATTTTTTACACATCGGTTTTGTTTCGATGTCAAAATAGGACTGATGTGAACAGGCCGATATCAATCCTGTGTATTTGACATGTAGATGTGAGTGTGGGGGCGGGGATGTTTGCTTTTGCACGAGCGCATACATTACAAGCGCAAGTCAGTTTAAATATCAAGCGCATGAAGACTGGAACTTGCGTGTTGTTTTCTGTCAGCCTTACAAAGGTGTATTTTTGTCCCACCAGAGCCTATTTGACCAGTGAGTGATGTAATGAGTGACTGATGTGCTTGTTTAACTGAGAGAACGAGCAGAGAGAGTGAAAGCCCTGGTCGCACACGTGCACTCTCACCGTCTTCAAACTGTTTTGCTCTCTCTCCCTCCCTCACGCATATTAATGAATTGAGTTGAGTGAATATCTTTGAGAATACACGATGGTAAAACATGTTGGGTTTTTTTCTGAACTAGCACTGGTTGTGAATTGTGCTAAAATACCGTTGCCTAGGGTGACCATATTTTGATTACCAAAAACCGGGACACTCGGCCCAGCAAACACATGGCCCAACTCAAATGATACTCGATGTTTACTCAAAGATACCTTATTAATTTCAATACATTTAAAGTAGGTTATGCCTCCTCTGTATGGATAGAAAATTCTTATATTGTTATATGAAAACAAGACAGTTGGTCACCATGCCGTTGCCTTATCTTCTCTGAAAAGCTTTCTACACATTTAGATGACATAAACCACACAATAAACAAACAATAAACAAACAAACAAACAAAAAAAGTATATCTAGTGAAGAAATGTTTTCTGTGTTGAGACAAATCATGTGGGATGTCCTAACCTGCCTGGATATTCAGTGATGACACGTCCGATTCGCGAACTAATGACTCCTTTGAACCGATTCACTTTAATGAATGGTTAAAACAACTGATCTGTCCAACACTGAACTTAAGAGACATAAATCGGAAACACTTTACAATAAGGTTCCATTTATTAAAGTCTAGTTTACTACATTAGTTAACATTCTATTAATATTAGTTTCAATACGGATTTACTCCATGACAAAACCACCCCATTCATTCTAGAATGATTCATTCTTTCCAACCAGAGCTTCAAGTCATCTGATGAAATTGTTTTTATATCGCAATATGTACAGCAGAAAAAAAGGTGAAATGTCTTTTTTTTACCAATATCGTGCAGCCCTAATCCTCGCAATGTGTTTTCTATACAGAGATTTCGACATTGGTAAATACTGGTATCGGCCATAACAGCAATATTAATATCGGTTATCGGTATCGGCATCGGCCACAATTTTCACATCAGTGCATCCCTACTTATGAGTACTGTGAATTCAGACATACTTCTTTTTCACCTCTCTTACGTCCAATTTCAAATGCAGCTTGAAAGAAAGTGCTTCAGCCAAGTAATATTGAGTCAACAGCACTTTTCAATATGTTCTATTATTTAATATTATTTCATATACTATTTTCAATATATGAAGAGTTCAGATGCAAAAGCCTCTAAATGCCATTTGAAATTTTCTTCTTTAATGATGATTTTTTATCAAACTTGTATATTTAAGTTCAGTAATTTCACTTAAATAACAATTAATAGGTAATTATCATTGCCATTTAAGTGAAATCACTGAACTTAAATATACAAGCTTGATAAAAATCATCATTAAAGAAGAAAATTTCAAATGGCATTTAGAGGCTTTTGCATCTGAACTCTTCATATACTGTATGTGCAAAGCATATATGAATCAATTGTGTTATAAAGTCTCAGTGAGCAGGTAATACCGGCTAATTAAACTTTTACTCATCATATTTTTGTCAACAGGATCTGTTTTCCATTTACTACTGGGAAAGAAAGTGGAATACAAGAATGAAACTTCACTCACCCAGCAGTAGTTCAGGTGGTCGGTACCACAGTGTGACGACCCGGTTTGTGTAGCGGTTCCCCTGACTGTTCTTAGCCAAACTAAACGCTCTGGCCAAACCAAAATCAGCCAGCTTCAGAACACCATCTCTGGTGATCAGAACATTGGCAGCCTTCATGTCTCTGTGGAGGATCTGACACAAATATACAAAACACTTTAGTCTGAGCCTAAAAACATGAGTTTTTACAATATTAAGTTACATTTACCTCAGATAATCTGGACATGTAAATAGCCACGTCTTACCTTGTTTCTGTGTATGTAGTAAAGTCCGTTCAGCAGCATCTGCATGACCTTCTTAATCTCAGCCAGGGTGAATTTAACATTAGCGTTGCTCAGCAGTCCAGCGAGGTCATGCTCACAGAAATCAAAAACCAGATAGATGCTGCCCTTATAGCGGTTAAACTGGGTGGCTGGAGAGAAAGAGGCGAGCAGAATAAACTGTTACCGGCATTATAATCATTCAATCAATAGCTGGACATAATGGTCATTAATTGTCTACTGATATAGGTTGATATAGGACTCCCACACTTTTTGATTCATTCATTTTCATTGGTTTTTCATGATTACTGCATTAAGGGCAGTTGACACCAAGGTCAATAACCATAACAATGAGGTTTAATAATTGGCACATTTACTTTAACACACACCTTTTGTTCTGCAGATCTCGATGAGATTCACCACATTCTCATGTTTCAGCAGCTGTAAGATCTTGATCTCCCTCAGAGCTGTGATGGGAAACTGAGGAGAAAAGCAGCAAAACACAGGATGACGTGTGACATCCACATAATCAACCGTACAACGGAGGATTGAGCTGCATGTTCTCACCCCTTCTTTCTCATTCTCCATAAGAACTTTTTTCAAAGCCACATGCTTTCCAGTCTTTCTGTGTTTGGCCTTGAACACTTCCCTACACACAGAAAACACATCAGAGATCCACTAAAACCTCATTATATCAGCCATTACACAAGCATTAATCACTCACCCGAAAGTTCCCTGGCCGATCTTCGCCAGCTTCTCATATTTAGAGAATTCATCACAGAAGGGAAACTCGACCCCATCATAGTATTTAGACATGATGGCCGTCTCTCTGTCCGGCCTAACACACACACAGACAGACAGACAGGACAGGACAGAGTGTTATTAAACACGGTGAGGAGCTCGCATTGCCTTCTGGCATTCTTACATTGAGATAATTACTTAACAATACTCTTACAGACACATTTTGGCAGAATTCTGTTTTAATTAAGACAATATTTAGTCTTTTATGAGGCTGTTTTGGTTGCGTGGGTGATCTCATGTTGTTCATTCGGGCCTGACAGACACAAAACCAGACCCACTCACAGAAATAGTAGCTTTACAGCGTCGGTTAAAAGACTAAAAATATTTAACAAGTACAACTGGGTGCTTGACATGTTTACGATAAACAAAAGTGACGTTTTAATATTTTAAATAACTGATAAGAGATAGAAATGTATTAAAATATTCGTACTTTTCCGCGCCGGCGGAGCTTCCGGTTTTGTCGCGCTGCATCGTTGCTGTTTCTCTGTGGATCCCCAGGACGGATTCAACAGCGGCAAGAAAAACTCTACCGCCTCCTGCTGTCCGGAAGTCTTACGTAAAACTACTTTAGTCAAATGTATTTCAAAACCTTTTCGAAATAGTGATTGTACTATCATTTGAGCATGCATTGTATCATATCAGCTCAACTAGGAATTAAACAACGTACATTTAAAAATATTTAGGAAAAATATGATTGAACAATACAGACCAAACATCTTGACATTGTTTTTATTCAATTTCCATCTGTGGTGATTTTTTTGAATAGCATCCTATGGCACTTTAAGACAAGAGTGGCATCTTTATTGACCAAAATAGTTAGTCACATTTCTTGATATAATTATCAAACTTTCCCAGATAACAAAACCAACCTACAATCTAAAAAAAAAACAAAACAAAAAAAAACATGTTCCATTTGAATATAGCAGTGTCTATTTAGACTAGGACACACTCTCCCATCATAACTACAGTACATACAATTCTACAAAAAAATATATTACACTAATAGTCAGTTTTTATAGACCACCAGTCCTCTGATGTGTATGTGTATGTATGTATATATATATATATATATATATATATATATATACACACACACACACACACACACACAACACATTTAAAATGTTTATTTACTATGAACGGGTGTGGGCACCTCTGTGTTGAAATACTTTGAACATTTCGCATCCACTTGAATGCAAACTTTCCCATACATGTGTTAGAAATTACACATTAATAATATTACATTATAAGAGAATAGTGTTTTATATAGGCACAATTCTTTCAGTGCAACAAAAAAATAACACAAATACTGATGGATAAGTTACCTGACTTTCTATTTCATGAATGAAAAGATCCAGATAAAAACATCAAAATTGAAATGTAAAACAAAGAAGCTTACACAGAAAATGAACTGAATGCACTTTAAAATCAAAGTAAACATGATTAGCTCAAGTAGTTTTGAATTTATGTGCTCTTTACATAAACTGACAAACGCTCAATGTTCGATGCTCTTCCCAAGTCACAACGTTGAATGCATGGATTCTAGAAGAAGCGGTCATGATTTAATTCGGGCAGTAAATCTTCTGAACTAAGACTGAACTGTAGTGTGACAGGGTTTAGGCACAAGGTGGCGCACTTGCTATGTTTGTCAGATGCGCATGTCTCCATTATGAGTTTAAGGAAGGGTCCAAGTGTTTTAAAGCCCCTCCCACCAGGTGTAAGCTACCTGTGATGAGGACGTGTATGTTCACGGCCTCTCGTAACAGTGCAGCTTTCGAGTTTATGCTCGGTTTAACGGGTATGACACATTTGTTTGGGTCTGACAGAACCGAGTCTCTTCCCTGACTGATCCACTGCAGGGCGCTGAGGATGCAGGGAAACACCAGTGTGTCGCTGTGCCTTTCTGCCACTAAAGGCAAACCTCCCCCGATCAGAAGCTCCGCCTCTGGCTTCTTCTCCTGGCCATTCATAATGCGCCAGCTCTGCTGGTTGTCCAGGCAACGTGTGAGCATGTTCTCCACGAAACGTTAAAGTTCTGTTGATCTGAAGGACAGAGTATGTTAGTAAAATACACTGAAGTAACTGACATAAAACCTCATTAGAGACTGGTTTTAATTATTAACAGCCACTTACAAAAGACTCAACTAAAACAAGTCACACAAGTCTGATATTGACATGATATTAAACAAATAAACTGATACTCTAAAAGGGGGGGGGGGGGGGGGGTTCATTTAAAATTGTACTGAAATATTCCTATGCATATTTTCCTATGCATATATTTTTGCGTACACAACGATTATAAATGAGGCCCCATGGGTGTCCAATCCTGCTCCTGGAGGGCCACTGACTGTCCAGAAAAGTTTGGACACCAATTAAACACACTTCAACCTGCTAATCAAGGTATTACTAGGCGGTACTACAAACTTCCAGGCAAGTTTGAGCCAAACACTGCAGGACAGTGGTCCTCCAGGACTGAGTTTGGACACCTCTGGACTAGATCTTTAGATCTCTGACACTGAAAGCATTTCTTACCTGCATTACAGGTCGCTATGGCCTCTGTGATGTTCGGACAGAACACAGCAAAGTCGAAATGACAGGGCTAAAACATATAGCATTTAAAAATGAGTCTCTGGGTTACCTTAGAAGAGTAACATGATAAAAAAGCACGAATTGATAACTCACTGTGAGCAGTTTGAGCATGGCAGCACAGTCTCTCTCTCCTGAAGCGTTGAATAAGAGAACCCTCACCACCGAACCCCTACAAACACACACACAACATTAAACACCAGCTATCTGCAGATATGCAACGTTTAAGAACCACTGCAAGGCTGACCGCAGGTCAGTGTTATTTCATTAATAATATACTATTGTAGCATTAACCATGTATAATAGTTTCTCACTTTTATTTATATATATATATTTTTTTCAGTTTTATATATATATATATATATATATATATATATATATATCATATTTATTTATATATTATAATATATATATATATATATATATATATATATATATATATATATATATATATATCAGTTTTTATTTGTTTTTGATACTTTATTTCAGTTCACGTTAATATAACTTTCATTATAATTCTGTCAGGACCACTATCATCAAATACAATTGACAATTAGCATACAGTTTGGGCAAGAGCAGCAATTACCCCCTTTAGGGTAACAGAACAGAACCAACATGAATGTATTGCACATATCATTAATTATTATTAGTAATTTACAACATAATTAGAGAATTATACACTGATTCAGGAGTAATCAGAATGCCAAATCCTGACTGACGAGAGGAGGGTAATGAGCTCCTGAGAAAGGCGATAGATGCTGATAACACTGAAGCAGCTTATATTTTAATATAGTGATAGGTGCCGTATTCCTATAGGTAGACGTGGATCAACTGGCAACCAAATAGAAGTCCAAATCAATGCAGTTTCAAAGGGCTCTGCATTGATTTGGACTTAAAATATTTGGTTACCATTGAAGTCTATTGAGTGGAGAAAAATATCTGAAATGTTTTCCTAAAAAAAAAAACAACAACAAAAAAACTTAATTTCATTTCCACTGAAGAAAGAAAGACATGAACATCTTGGATGGCACTGGGGTGAGTAAATTATCAGGAAATTTTCATTTTGAGGTGAACTAATCCTTTAATCATTTTACAAATATATTTGTTTTAGTTAACAATAACATCCCTGCTGTAGGTTCTCTTTTGTACTGTTACTGTATGTTTAAAGATTTCAGTCTTGAAGCCATCAATCATACAAGGAATATTATAAAACAGAAATAAAAATAAAGATCAAGGCCTTCTCACCCAGCATTTCTCTCATGATGTGTTGCGATCTCATTAAACCAGCGGACGCAGGCCTGCATGCTGCGTGTGGTATGAGCTCCGTCCAAGAAATACGTCACAGGGCCGTGTTTTAGCGTCTGATTGCGCCCAGGCCACTCAGTCTCTGCAAGACCTGTCAAAACATCATTTATTGTATATTGGCTTAATGCATATTTGACTTAAAGACCATTTAGTAATAGTGTAACATAGTGGTTCAATATCTAGGCTACAGCAGTAAATGTGACATTTTGAAAAAAATCAGGCAAAAACGAAATTTGTTTGGCGGTTCGGGAGTTCGAAACGGCGTGGTAAACACCTTTGTACTGCGATTGGTCCATGGTGATGATGTAACACGTAGGTGTGGCTCTAAGGCTCTGCCTTATTTTAAAAGGAAATATTCTCCAGTTTATCTTCTGTTCAGTTAAGGTCAGATGCAAGCAAAAACATAAATACACTGCAGAGCTGTTTTATAGTAAAACATGAAGTTGTAATTCTAATTGAAAGCAATACTAATTGTTTTCACGTTTAATTCTGTAAAGCTGCTTGCATTTAAACAATCCATTGTACAAAGTGCTGTATTAAAGGGGAACTGTAACGAAATAGGAAGTAAAGGGGATATAACAGATGTGTTATCATTGTTATTTGTGGTAGGACACTTAAAATTACTGAAGTAATTACAAGGGGGAAACAGTGATGTCAGTTTGTTGTTTTGTTACTAGGGTGCAGGCATCTTGAGCTTCAACACTCCGTGATGTCACTGGGATGATAGGCTACCTTGACAGCTCCAGCAAAATATATATGTGACCACGGCGGGTCCTGTCTTACAAGTCCTCTTAGTTATACTCACAAGATACTTATTACTGTGATTTCAGCCGCTTTCAAACAGTGTAGCCAGTTTAAATTTGACGAGTGCACACGCCTTAACGCAATGCACAGACAGCCAGTGGTCACTCACAGTGCGTGCACTAAACTAAATTCTCTTTATCGTCATTTAGGCCTATGTCACACTTCCTGCTTCCGGAACTCGGAGTAGGGATACAGAACTTCCGGTTAACAGTATTTCTCGATAAGGATTTAGATTATCAGCTCTAATGTACCATGCGAGGTAGACTGACCACGAGCTATGAGGTTGTGAAACAAAGGTTTTTGCTTTCATATGAAATCAACCTTGTTTAAAGGGATACTCCACTTTTTTTGGAAATAGGCTCATTTTACCACTCCCCCAGAGTTAAACAGTTGAGTTTTACCGTTTTCAAATCCATTCAGCCGATTTCTTTTATATTTAGAAAAATATCAGTAACCAGACAGTTTCTGGTCTCATTGACTTCCATAGTATATTTTTGTCCTACTATGGAAGTCAATGAGACCATCGGCTGAATGGATTTGAAAATGGTAAAACTCAACTGTTTAACTCTGGGGGAGTGGTAAAATGAGCCTATTTCCAAAAAAGTGGAGTATCCCTTTAAACAACATGTTTTATCCACAATCTTATAAACAAAAACTACACTACCCAAAATCCTAAGCGTAGCAGCAACGTCTGCTGATTGGCCCAACTCGCTGTTAACATAGAAACGTTTACCTTACTGGCGAACTGCTAGAGCTACCCGCGTACCGGTTTGCTCTGCATCAGGAGGACGTAGACAGCCAGCTTTCACGCTTTCCCACTTGAAAGTTTTAATTTACCATCCGAACCACATCGTCATATGTGACTTCAGCCAGGTTGCGGAGAGATTTGGCCCAGCGGTATCTATAGGACTCCACCATTGTAAAAAGCCAACCAGAAGAGCCATATCCCTACTAAAAGACGTACTTCCGGTCTTCAATTTTTTCGTGACATAGGCCGATTGCATTTAAAGTGTCAAAAACACAACGCTCTATGTGTATCAGTATATTCTATCTAGAACCTTGCAGTGCTGTAGTTCTTAAAGTGACAGCAGTCTATATAAGAAGCATTATATGGTTCATTCATACAGTGAAGAATATGCTGTTATATTTGATGATTCAATTTCTTATATGCTGTTTTAGTGTTAACTTGTACAGTTCTCCGTCAATACTGTAAAAATCAGTCATTTCAGTCAGAGTAGCAGGAGAGTAGCCTGACATAACGTTACTAGCCAACAGTGGTACCATGCCAGTGACGTCATCGAACACAGCTGCGCTCTAATAACAACAAATGTTCATTTCAACATTAGGAAAAACTTCATATATATTTAGTTTTAACATTAATTTTGAATTAATTTGTTTACAACTTTAATAACAAACATGTTATTAATATATATTTTGTTCGTTTCAGTTCCCCTTTAATAAACGTGACTTGACTGGAGAGCCGAATCACAGAGCTGGTGCAAACAAATCCACATTTCTATGATCAGATGCTTTCTTTACTGCAATTTCTCAACATTGTAAATTTTTGTTTATTTTGTTATTAAAAGGAAAGCATGCAGCACATATTTACATATTCATCTAAATGCCACTCTCATCAGCAGCGCACAGCATTGGGATGTTTGCTAATAGTATATCGCCGCTCAGGTATTTTTCTTACCCCTATGTGGAGAATGAAAAAGGACTTCACTGTGAGTATTTCGGAGCCTTGAAAAGCAACTGCCTATGTAGGCAGTAGACATCAAGGCTGCTCACTAGGTTTTAGAATACAAGGCTGTATAGTGTGTTTTTACAGACCTTTTATCATTGCAGGACTAGGCTGGAAAGCTGGAGCTGGACTCACACCGCCGAACTTCACTAGAGATGATGACGATGCAGGATCTGAGAACAAACAGTTAATTAAATCACTATATAAGAGATGTGAACAAATCTACAGAGACAGAAACACACACCTGTCAGGACATGTCTCTGCAGCCAGGTGTGTGAGAGCTGTAGAGCCAGAGAAGCGTTACTGCGCTGATGGTGACCAGCTAAACCCAACCTGAGCGAGCCCTCGCTCTCATACTCATCCAGATCAGGACACACTGACAGCGAACACTGAGAGAGAAAAACAGAGGACAATGACCACGTTTACATGCAGCCATTAACCCGTTTAAAACCGGGATATTAGCAATAACCCGGTCTCGAACGGCCATGTAAACACCGGCAAAAACCCGAATATGATCATATCCCGGATTTTTAAAAACTGGGATATTATACCTGGGGTACCCCTTTTCTAACCTGAATTTTTGTTCATGTATCGGCATTTCCCCATAGTGATTTGTGTTCTACGCATGTTCGATTCACAAGGAATCTTGGTCTTTTGAGTAGAGAAACTTCTCAGCGCATAAAAAAAAATCAACGTGCAGAATACATAAACATGGCGAGACCAGGCGAGACACAGCACAGCACAGTTTTGGAGCGAGGTCAGTAACGTTACCAGCATCAAAGCGCAAACAAAGGCGATCGCTATCTGCCCTGAACTATTCAAATCCACGTGCTGCTGTTGTTGTCTTTGGATACAGGAAGAAGAATCGGAAATGACGAATATTGCGTTTAAAGGTTGTCCGTACGTCTAGACACTAACCGCGTGTCGCGTTTACATCGGGATATTGCAATTCCGTGTATACATGAGAAACTCTCTCTGCTCACGCATGTAAACGGGTTATTCCTAATGTTTCAGAAACCCGAATAGTGACCTTAACCCGACCATAACCCGAAAAATGGCTGCATGTAAACGTAGCCATGGTCAGCAAATTGTGTATCTGCAGTATGTTCGTATTTCTTACCCCAATTTCTTCTGCTCTCTCTTGAAGCACCTTCATGGACCCATCAGGCTGTTTGACTGTGAACGCAGGAACCCCCGGCTGCAATAAACACACATACACTGAATACCTTATAACACACTCAGTTTTTATAGTTACAACACACAAATACTCACCTTAAAAATCCCTCCTTTCTGCCAGGCAATTTTCTCAATGGTATCTCCCAGTAAGCTGGTGTGATCTATGCCCAAAGAGGAGATCCCACACACCCAGGGATGCCTAGGAAACACAAGAGACATTTCAACAAATTAAATCTTTAAAGTGAAGCAAGTAATTTCTTGTAAATATTTAAAGTGCCCTTATTATGCAATTTAAAGGTTGCTAATTTTGTTTAGAAGGCTCCTACAAACGGGTTACATGGATATGTAAAAAAAAAATGTAAAAAAAAAAATATTTCATTTCTCATAATATGCATTGCAGAATCAACTCTTTCATCAGTGTCTGAAACAGTATGATAAAGGATTCAGTCCCTTTTCAAACTCCTCTCAGAGAGCTTACTCTGCTCTTATTGGTCAAATGGCCCAGTTAGTCGTGATTGGTCTACTGCTTCCTCAGAGCTTGATACACAGTGATACGAACAGTAACAATGGCATAATTTTTACCGTATTGATTCAAGTCCGAGACCTCATCTATTGGAAGAGCATGCAAAGTGGATTTGCTTTGCCACCAGAAAACAGTGCCAACTCTCATGTTGACAACATGAACCAAACTCTTTCAGACCTCATCAGCAACAACTACAGTGTTTGAGGGCGATTCGAAGTAGATGTTTTACGCAAGTGAATGTTACAAACCTTTATAGGTTCGTGGAATTACTGACGACGCGTTTCAGGCAGTTTAGAATCGGATCTTTCTTTTAGGAGACAATAACTTTATTTGTTGTGCACTTGATTGGTGATGATTGGTTTGATATGGCTAATGAGGATACAATTAAATTATGAAGAATGCAGATCAATGATTGGTTGATTTGAGAGGAATGCGTCACGCTTAATCTATAAAGCCAGACGGATGAAGATGAAACGGTTGAAACTAGGCTAACGCGGCACAAAGAGAGAATTAGACACGCTACACTGAAGCAGATGGGAGGGAGACTAGAAAACAGCTCTGGTACCTAATAATATTGGTGCAGTCATACGCTCCACCGATCCCCACCTCGAGGACAGCCAGATCAACCTGAGCGAGACATGGAGAAATAGAGAATTTAGCTCAATTAATAACCAGCATCTATAATAAACAACAACTGTCATGATCTTTGAAACAACTTATTAAACTTTGACATTGATGATAAAAGAGTGCTAAAAACAATCACTATTAAATGCTTGAGCTGAATACATGTGGGTTCCATTACGTGCTCAATGTTATAATAACTAAATAAATAGTTGCACACCTTCTCCTGAAGAAAGACGTGGAAGGCCAAAATGGTGAGAAAGCGAAAATAAGCAGGCATGCTGCCTCCATTGGCATCCTGAAAGGTCAAACAGAAACTCTTATGACACAAAAGTCTTTTGCACTTTTAGATACAACTCATATTACTGCTGTGCTTTGCCATTTAAGTAGGATACATGAATGTGAATGTTCACAGACGCATTTTAGGTTCAAGTGTCTGAACAAACGACATTGTTTCCATCCTCACATGACTGACATGCTGTTGTGATTATGCAATTATGTGACCAGAAGCCTCACATTTACACTTAACACAATTAACATGGTACAGACACAAACCCATAGGAGCAGTCAGCAGGAAACACGCAATCCTTTCATAGGAATTATAGCATTAGCACTGTGTAGAGAAAGCAACCAGATCATTGTATAAAGCTACTACGATGTACTAGTATTAACACGTATATTAATCTTCTTCGAAGGGAAAAAGCTCAGACATATGCACATTCTCACTCAAAGGAATTTAAAGGGTTCATGTTCAATTATTTTGTATACTTTCTTGCACCAAAAGTGTTCATAACACTATTTTACATGGCCAGGCCACTTCCTATCCTCTCTCAGAGACAGAACCAAACAGGCTCTTTTTGTAACTGTACTTCTAATATTAAATTATGCATCTTTTTTCCCACTTTCATCATATGTTAATGTGTTCAGGATTGTGTCATAGCCATGGTGATTTATGGATTTTTACCATTAGTTTTTACAAATGGTCTGGTGTATAAACATAAACTCCTTCCCAGTTACACAGTTTGAGTTGTGAAAGTTGCATATTGACAAAAAGGAGGGAGGGAGGGAGAAAAATAACATCCGGCTCACCTTTGTCTCTTCCAGTCGCCCGTACACCTGCCAGAAATATTTGGTGAAAAGCTCTTTTCCTATTGGCTGCCCGTTGATTCTGATTCGCTCTCTCACTTGCACCAAATGAGGTGAACTAAAAATCAAGACGACATAGAAAACAACCAACTGACATTAGATAATGCAGTATCTGTAACGACTTTACTACAATGTTTGTTTAAGCCCTTTAAAACGTCTGAAGTCTTACTGTGAACAATGGTCAATGATTATGTAAATCATTAAGCTTAAGATAAAGTTCAACTAAACAAAACATATCGGTTAGGACAGATCGATTACATAATGTGCAAGGTAATAATGACGCAGTGCATAGCTTTACTTTTTACTCTGAGAGCTGGTTGATTTAAGTGGAAAGATCAAGCAAAGTTCAGCATGAACTTATATGTTTGTGCATGAATGAACAGTAGTTACGCAAAACTCCCCACCACTCCCACAATCACTACATAATGACTATACACACCCTTTATCTCCAAACACTGCATTATTTTGACTGGTTATAATACCTGTAGAATCCAGTGCGGAAGCCATAGTTTCTCAAAATCTGTTCTGTAAAGGCACACGTTGAACCCTGAAAATAAAATAAAAATTCAGCGTTTCACTGAACTTTTGTAACTTGATTCAGTTATTAATTCCTCAGTGAACTTGTTTACCTTTCCTTTTGTTCCAGTTACGTGAATAATATTGAGACGATCAAGGTCTTCTACCTGATGACACACAGAACACAACAGTTAAAAGGTTATTTACAAAAGTAACCTGAAATTAAAATACAGATTTGAACATGTTTCAACAAGTCAAGAGTAGGACGAACTTGGTTTCACGATGCAAAGCAGAGTTGAGTTGTTTTTAGTTCCTGATGTGCCGTCAGGCATAAATGTACCATTTATAATGGCTTCATTGTTTTTATTTTAATTATATGAATAACATTAAGCTGTTTTTGCACTGTGATATCAGACTTATAAATCATTTAAGTATCATTTTGTTTACATTGAGTTGCAAATAATAATTGACAATAATTAAACAACCTTTCATTTATAAAGCATTTAATTCACTGTATTATCCACAAATGGGCTTTACCACATTACTTAATATACAAAATAATATGCAAATGCAATGTAATTATAGAAATGTACTGTACACATATATACTCAAAAGAAACAAATATTTTGATACAATATTAATTGAATTCACTAGAAAATATTTGAAAACCAAATTGGCATATTATCTACTCACCAAGATTTTAAAAAGAAATGTTAATCGGCAAAAGGGGAATGGTTATTTGCCAAGTCTGATAGCAAAAAGCCAAATAAAAGCTGATTTGTTAGCATAAACAGTGATCAATCATACAGTTTTCATGATATAAAACCATTCTTACTGCGATGAAAGGATTTTGGTCATACCGTCATGAGTAATTTTCGTGTCGGGAAGCTGTGTTTGATACCTTGAGTCCTGCCCGCTGGAGAAAGCCTCTCATGGCCTGCAGCTGGAGCTGAGGATGACCTCTCTCTCTCTTCACCTGCTCCAGAGCGCTGGCGTTTGTCTGGAGTGTGTTGAGGGTGCACACCGCATCCTGAAAGACATTCATCATAACGCTACAGCTGGATCTCAAAGACTTCATGCCATCTCAACACCTCAAACACCAACCCATGGAGAAAAACACCACCTCTGGAGCTTGAGAACATTTCATGTTTACATCAAATCCAGATTTATGACTCGCATTACATGTGCTGCTGAAAGTAAATTCATAGCTAGATATCCATGTGGAGCTCTAGTCTCTACAAACTGAGGCTTTACTGTTGCTTTGATAGACACACTGAACTTCTGAACTCTTTCATAATATGTGTTTAGTCAATGTTTAGCCAGATCTGGTGTATGCACTACAATCCTATTACAACTGACAAATGAAAACTAAATGTTTTTATTGCTAAATGTTTTGGTTGCTGAAAGTGATCAGATGAATCATACAAGCAACTGGCAAATATAGGCTATATTGTAAGATGAGGTGAATCTAGACTTGACCCTATAACAAATACAAGGGAAATCTCAGACAAAAATCAAATTAAAAAGTTTATTAGTAATTTTGTTGTAGGCTACATACTCTATATATATATATATATATATATATACACCCCTATATATACACTTATGCACAACATAGATTTTTTTACCTTGTTTTTTTTTATATTTCCCGTTTTTTCTAATAACATTTGTCCACCTTATCACTCACACACATAACGTTACAGCACTTTGTAGGCTATAACGTTATATTCCAAATGCAAAAAAATTATGCCAATAAAGCTTTGTTGACACTGACTATCTGACTAAACTGCCATCTAATTATTTAATAGATATAAGAACACATCCAGCACAATTATGAATTAAATAATATCTATTTTCTTCACACACATGCATTTAATCCTCAGTTATGGCTGCCTGCACACTGAGCACATGGCCTGAATAAAGGTTTTCTGGCAAGCAGTTTTGAAAGTTATTGCATAACCGAACTTGTATAATTATGTTGTTGTTACTAGTACTTTTAAAGTAAAGTATAATTTAAAGTTTTCTGTCATCCAAATAGTGACAAGTTTCAATTAACTGGTAACAACTTGTTCTAGTTAGTAACCAGTAACTGTTACTTGTTACTAAGTAACGTTACTTAAGTCAATAGAAGCAAAGAAGCCAGCAGTATCTCATAAGTAAGCGTTAATAATATTATACACATACAATAACAATAGATAGTAATTTATTATTATGGATAATGTTGTACGGCTGGTCGTAAGACCTCAATGGAGTCACTCAATGGAGTCAAAATTGCCGCTCTTTGAATTAAAAAAACTTAACGGCTGTCGGCTGATGTAACAACTGTCATGGATGAATCATCGGCGTGCGTTCGGTTTATCTGTTAATACTTTTTTATGAGTCAAAAACTTTCCAGCCCAAAGTCCGAAATAAAGTGCACAAACGTACCATTTTTTGTATTAATTCCCATAAATACGCATAACGTTTAGACAAGGGAATTGAAAAGCTTTAACGTTACCTGGTAGTCCATTCTTCGGAACCGCGGAGCAGCTTTTGTGCTGGAGAATCTCGGTGACACTCCGCCGGTCGTGCACAGTTCGGTCCACGCGCGTAAACGCGCCAGCGCGCGGAACAGGCGCATCGTGAGGACCCGTAGAGTGCAGGAAGCAGCACCAAATTTGGGGAGTTTTCCTGTCAATATGGACCTCGCGTCATACCACGCCTCCTTTCAGCTCACCATACAGATTTCACCAGGATTTCACTACTGTTTGTTATTATTGCCAGTGCGAATGACAACAATCTGATGGATTCGGATAAATAGAGAAGAATTGAATGATGATGTGTGATTCGAGGAAGGCGGTTTACAAAGTCAAAAGGCTGCAAAAGCGGGCAGTTGAATCCGCATAACATTTCCAGTTCGCTGGCGATTAAAACCACAGCAGACATCCTGTTTTAACCAGGTTGCGTGCTGCATGTTTAAAAAAATGGAATTCTCTAGTTTGCCATGCAATGCTGCCGAAACGCTGCTCACGTGTCAGCTGTCTTCTAGAGCAGAAAACCTTGTGCAATGTGCACAGAACACATCGTACTGCGCATGCGTATTATCGCATATAACACTGCACCGCCGCCTACTGGGCATGGCAGTTTCATGACATGTTTTAAATTTAATTAAAATTAATTAATATATTTTAAGTAGAGCTGTGCAAAAATTGATTGCGATTAATCGCATCCAAAATAAAAGTCTGTGTTTACATAATATATTTGTGTGTGCTGTATATAATTATTTTGTATATATAAATACACACACATGCATGTATTTAAGAAAATGTGTTATTCATATATAAAATATTTATATTTATATAATTTAGATTGTGTGTATATATATATATATATATATATATATATATATATACAGAATTTAAGCGCAAATAATTCTTAAATATATACATGCATGCATAGGTATTTATATATACAAAATAATTATATACAGCACACACAAATATATTATGTAAACACAGACTTTTATTTTGGATGCGATTAATCTCAATTAATTTTTGCACAGCCCTAATTTTAAGGTAAAGTTAATTACACTATAATTATGTTAATTAAATATTCACAATCACAATCAGGAAGTAAAGTGTAAAAACAGGGTTCTCAGTTACTTCTGGACTGGAGATCTGTGTTCCTGCAGAATATAAGTCTATTTCGGTATTCGGATCAAATTTTTTAAACAAGTTAAAACATATTTTAGTTTCACTGGACTTTTGCAGATGTGTTCTAGCAGGGTTTGAACTTTGAACTCAAGAAGGTTTGGGTTTGATAACCTCTCGCTCGAGTTTGATAAATGGCCAGTAGATGTCGCCAAAAGACACAGGATGAATATGAATCTAGACAGAAGACCCACATTTTGATTGACTGTCATATTCACCACATAAACATGATTTGTTTCTAAAAAATATTTAAAACAAAGTGTAATTGTTTGTTAAATTATTTCAGGGTTGATAAGAGATGTAATAAGAGATATATATAAGAGATATAATCAGTTGCACTGATTATAATTAGTTCACTTTATAATAACAATGTACAATATCTTTACATGACACTGCCAAGTTTCTAAATTGTAGCGTGTTAAATGTATTGTGCTGTGTTGTCATGTGACGTGTGCATGCACTGTAAGATTTGCTATTTAATTTAATTGTATAGGCCTGTTATATGCAATGACAATAAAAGGAAATTGAATTGAATTATTCCTCAGAAGGTAATAGGTACGATGAAAATGAAGAATGTTTTCTCCGTACTATAGATGACACAAAATCTCATCTCAGCACTCAGATGAATGGCTATGCTATTCTTAATTTTGTCGTTTCATCTGAATAACAATATGTGAGATTTAGTCAGCTGAGACACTTAAGTTATCTAACTTTGTGTCTCTGGAAAATAGTGATATAATATCATATCGGCGGTGCGGCGATAGCTACTGCTCATCAATATCATGTTTTTTTGCATCTATTTGTTAATGAGGGATATTTGTTGTAAAATATATAGTTTTTTATTTTGAAGTAAAAGGTTAAAATAAGATTTTATTGGCACAGAAGTGCCACTGGCATGTTGTTAGTGTTATTATTTTTTCAATTGAATAATTATTGTAATTAATGGGTTTATTATTCATTCAGTAGGCTATTTCTATAAATTAAAGGGGTGGTAAAATGGCATTTTCACAAGATGTAAAATAAATCACTGATGTCCCCAGTGTGTGTGTGTGTGTGTGTGTGTGTGTGTGTGTGTGTGTGTGTGTGTGTGTGTGTGTGTGTGTGTGTGTGTGTGTGTGTGTGTGTGTGTGTGTGTGTGTGTGTGTGTGTGTGTGTGTGTGTGAAGTTTTAACACAAAATACCCCACAAATATTTTAGCATGTTAAAGTTGTCACTTTTTGAGGGTTTGCAAAAACGCACTGTTTTGTGTCTGGCCCTTTAAATGTAAATGAGCTGATACAGCGGTGGGGTTTCAAGAGCTCACGTGTGTTAGCATTCAATTTGCATGAATATCTTCATTTAAAATATGGGTAATTAAATAAGTAAATATCCATATGCCTGTACAGAATAATTTTACCTTTCAGATAAATCTCTGAACTGATCTGTCATTAGTTATTGAATTATCCAACTAAATAGTCCAAATATAAAATTTCAAACAGTATAGTTGATCTTTGTATTTTACATTATTGACGCTTTTTAAAAAAATTGTTTCAGTTTATTACCTATATAATAACCCTATAATTGACAATAGTCAATTTATTACCCAATTACATTACATTAATTATAGGTACCAATAATAACAGCCTATAATGGCAGATATGCATCATCATCATCATCATGCTAAACTTATCTCTGAATACGTTACTGTTTAAAAGTAAATCATTGTTCTTCTTAACGTGGGGGAACATCTCACCCTACATCAAAATATACATTAGTGGGGTTGGTATTGAGAGGTGATGGCATAGCTGAAGGCTGGCAGATCAATGAAGGGTTCCTCGTGGCTTCATCCAGAGGTTTATCTTCCTCATATACTCACTGCTATACAGTGACCCATGGGTTAATAGAGCAGACGTGCGTTTGTACATCCCATTATCAGTGCAGGACAAACAGTGAAGGTGAAATTCCTGAGAAAAGCCACATATCAAGAGATGATCAAAGTAACTACTAACAACTCCGTGTTAAAGTTGTCCAACCATGTGATGACATTTAGCCCGGTGTCTTTTTGCTTCATTACTTGCTAAATCCATTCCCGTGATGAGATCCGTCGATTAGCCTACTGAAATGGAAAATATGCGAATCAGCTCTGGTTATCTTTTTGAAAGAGGCATATGCCGTGATAGTGAGCAATTTAAATAATGACCAGTCATTCTCCCGTTCACCTGCGTGCAAACACGGTTTATCTCAGCGAAACATGTGAGGGAAAACGTTAACGACAAGACTAGATGTCAAGGATTAGGTCAAAGAATTACAAGAAATGACAATATTGTGTTCTGCAGCAACAGTGGACGTTTTCAGAACTTTTGCTATGTTCTGACAGGGTTATTTCTCATTAACACGTTTCATTTTAGGCTGTTCCAGTAACGTATTGACGTCCGTTCAAAGTGTTCTGGCCTTTAATCATGTTCTCAAAACCTAGGTTAGCACAAACCGTATACATCATTGGTAACACTTTACAATAAGGTTCGTTAGTTAATATTAGTTAACTACATTAGTTAATATGAACTAATAATGAACAGCACATACGGCATTTGTTAATCTTTGTTAATGTTATTTTCAACATTTAGCCTACTAATACTTGATTAAAATCTTGCTAACATTAATTAATGCACCGTGAACTAACATGAACAAATGATGAACAGCTGTATTTTCATGAACTAACATTAACAAAGATGAACAAATGCAGTAACAAATGTATTGCTCATGGTTAGTGCATGTTAGTAAATACATTAACTAATGTTAACTAATGAACCTTATTGTAAAGTGTTACCACATCATTCATGTAACTTTTTTCTGAAATATTATTAAGGCATTTCTTGAATAGGGGATTATCACCCTTCCGGGTTTCATGGGCGGGATTTGTCAACTTTGTGCATTTCCACTTCCGACGAAGGCTATATATGTCACTGCTCTGTTCCACTTTGTAAATCTAACCAACAACACCAACCCTACTTAAGTTTTCATGGATTCCCGACTGAATTGAGTATAAGGAAGAACTGGATTAAAACTTTAAAATAAAACAAGGTAGCGCGTTTGTTTGCAGCCGGCACTTTAGTGAATCAGACTAATTTACCAGGGATGCCGTATAAATAAACTTAGTGTAGTCCATCATCAGTTCGCCAGCGAGATCGGTGATTCAACGGAAGTGGCAGTGCACAAAGATCACTGAATCCGGAAGTCCTGCGTATGTCCAGCGTGATAATCCCCTATTGTTATTGTATGTTTCGTGTGTCGTTGAATAGAAGAGAGGCTCTTGGGAGCGCATGTAACCGTCACATTCTTTTGATTTTCCCAGCAAAAACATCCCGAGCCATTAAAAAGCTTTCAAATAGAAAACCTAAAATTTTTAAGCTTCTTTACAAGCTGTTCACACATTGGTCTTGTGGCTGCTCAGTTTTCCTACAAAAGCTGTTGGATAAGGGAACGTTCCCATCCACGCTTAAAGTCTACAAAGTTGAAGTTGACAAAGTAGCGTTCCGTAGCGTAAGCTAAACTCTAAACTCTAAAAGCTAAGCTAAACTCGTAAAAGAACGTCTCAGTTACCTAACGTAACCTCGGTTCTCTCTAGAAGAGGGAACGAGTATTGCGTAACCTGCCGTGCTCGCGCCACAAGCGTTTTTCACTTTTGTCGATGAAAACCAGAGAAACAGCCTCCGAGCCCTGCTTATATATGCTAAGCCACGCCTATACTGGCGGGTTATGACACTGTGAAGGTGCGAGCGCCCTTCATTGGACATGATGTCACGTCGGGCTCAGTGGTAGGTTGCTGCAGTTCCCTATGAGCACGCTATACCCTGCTAGGTCTGCTAGCTGCTGCACTGCGTTGACAATGAATACAAAATTAAGGATAGTTTTTTGGCTTCAATATCTCGAAAATACAAATCTTTCCTGTTGCGTAAGCAAAACGTATGCTCATTCCTTCTTCTAGAGAGAACCGAGGTTACATTAGGTTACTGAGACGTTTTATTTCTCATTTCTTTTTAGTTAACTGGTATCAGTCTCAGACATGTTTGCCAGTATTTTATGGAAAACTACTTAGGTTGTTCCATATTCTCATGCAATACAGTATATGGAGGGAGAAAGATCGTTCTGAAAATGAAAAGCATGAAATGGTGCAATGACAATTTTGAGTTGCGAACTCAAGGTCAACTCAGTGGTTCTCAACCTCTCCTGCAGGGACCCCCTGACAGGCCATATTTCTGTTTTAACCCTGAAATGGCACACCTGATTCAATTAATTAAAGGCTTAATGAGTAGTTGACTAATTGATTAATTGACTCATTTCTACTTCCTACTCTAAGGAATCATTAAGCCTTTAATTAATTGAATCAGGTGTGCCATTTCAGGGTTCAAACAGAAACATGGCCTGTCAGGGGGAGAGGTTGAGAACCACTGGGTCAACTGATCACTTTTTACAATGCTAAGAAGACCAAACTATTCAAACCTGTCTGAGATTGATATCCAATCCTGCCAGTTATCGAAAAAGATATGAGAAATAAAACAAACAACTCTTTCTTTGAAAAACTAAAATCTGAATGCTTATTGTAATGAAATCCTACTGATAACTTGCATAATAATTTGTAATACAGATTTCAGTTAGCTGGGATGTTGTTGGATTCGGACGGGAGATCATTCACGCTCTAGCGAATTCCCTTGATCTCTTGAAGGTCAGAGATTACAAGGACTAGAACACATCTCTGGCATGGGCTTTTATCCAGGTTAAACCCAGATTCCTGGTTCAGGTTCTGTTACATATCCGTGTTGGCCTGGAGAACTTTGACCTCAGAGGGAGATTCTGGAAGGTTTTTTTTTGTTTACTTTTTTTTTCGGGAATTAGAGAATTATTGGCCATTTTTTAAACTTAAATCTATTCACATAAAAGTGTAAATCAATTTAATCCAAATCCACATATTCACAATGTATACGCATATACATACTAGGCATGTGTGTGAGTGTCCTTAAGCAAGTGTCCCTCCCTACCTTATTATTTCATTTCTTTATAGTGAACAATATTCCTGTGATTGATTCAGCATGTAAAAGGTCATTTAAATGCATCACACCATGAGAATGAGTTTTAATAATTGCTTTAATTTGCCCATCGCCTCACAGTGCTACATGGTGATTCCCTTTTACAGAACAGTGATCAACTGTTAATCTCATTATTGCCTGTAGCGTCATCGTTATAATCAGAGTAAGACAGCTTCCAGAAGAGAAAAAGAGGACAATAAATACATCTCAACAGGTTTAAAAAAAAACAAAAAACAAGTGTGCATCTAAAAGAAACGATAAATGACGTCCTCTCTCACATGTCTCTCTACGACAGTTTAGTCCTTGAAAATGCAATTTGATTCAATCAAAAGTAATGGAAGACATTTTAGATGATGAGATGATGATAAACAGACCTATGTACTGTAACTGTACTGTACTGTGACCTATGTAACACTGACTTGTGTGTCTATATTCAAGTTTTAATGACTGTGGAATTATACATTATGATAGTTAAAGGAGCTGTATGTAAGAAATGTATTTCAAATAAAAAATAAAATGGCCCTGATAAGTCACTAGACATTAAGAAATCATGTTTACTTCAAATACTTATATCACTGACAACAGTAGTCCAGCCAGGATATTGTCATTTAAAAAGTGAAGTTGCAGCCCTCAACTGATGTTGATGTTGTCATGTTGTGTTTTGCTCTGATGCTCCACCCTCCACATATCTACCAATCACAAAGTCAGTGGTTGCCATCTGGCAACCTCGAGTCAGTGGGAGGGGGAGGGGATACACCGGTCTACAGTAATTTGAAAGTGATTGCAGTACCAGTTTTGGCCACAATCTTACATACAGCTCCTTTAATATTACACCCGATTTGCTGACTAAAATATCTTTGTGCTGAACGTAAGAGAAGTGATCTTTCTTGAATGGCAGCATAGGTTCTCACACACACACACACGAAAACAAGGAAAGTTGCATATTGCTGTCACTTTGGTGCAGCTGTTCGACATTAAATCTTAATATCAAGTCCTCACACCTCTCATCTCAGTATAAAAGACGTCTCTATCTACAGCATTACTTCTTTTAAAAAAAAAATATATATAATAAAAATATCCAGACAATAAAATCACCATAAATCATCGGTAAATAGTAAATACATCGAACGTAATCACATTGAAAGTGTCCGCCCTGTTATCGATTGTCATTTATGATCGAAGAAACAGATCTTGAGTTCACAAAAGGGCAGAGGGAATTTCATAGACAGAAGAATGTTGAAGAGGCATCCAGCGCGGTGGCCACTCTTCCGGTCACGTGACTTTAAGATCCGTAACGTACTGCATAGAGAAATGCTTCACTCAAATAAGTGCCTGGCACCTACAGTGTCCATTACAAGAGGTAGAACTAGAAAATGATAGTCAAATCGAGTGTTTTCCACTTTTTAAGCACAGGAAAGTTTTAAGTAGGCTAATTGTGTCATTAAAACCAAAGTTTCCCTTATTGGGATAAGTAGTTGCACCCACAATTGTGGTTTAGAAATATAAGCTTAAATACGCAAAGTATCAAAGAGAACGGAGATACTAATACAAATTTGTTCATAGACATTTAAAAAAAAAAAAAATTGATCTAATGTGCTCATTTGAATGAAGTGCAGTTATTTGGCCAAAAGAAAAACTCAAACTGCAAATTAATGTTATACAATTGGATGCTACATTATTAAGACTGATTATGTCACCATTCTTGTATATTTTCTGCTTCTATATTATATATTTTATAATATAATTATATATTATATTATAAAATATTATGGTTATAAAAAGTATTTGAAATCTATTGGAACAAAAATCAGTCTGGACCCAGAACTTAAAACTAAAACGATAGCAAACTCCGCCTCCACCCCCCAAATAAAGTAGGCTAATGCTACCAAAATGTCAGGAGGACATAAAGTTTTACACTTTTTAGTTTGTATTTGTGCAGCTATAGGTTGTAGTGTTGAAATGACATACATCAATTAGTTTAGACTTTAAAATGAAACTTTCAGAAAAGTTTTTCATTTTCAAACCATCATCTGGACCTAAACGTGTGTACACCTAAACAAGTGTTTAAAGGGATGTTTCAGAGGATGGAGTTTTCCAGAAGAATGTGTTGTTGTCCGAGTCCAAATCGATTCTGATCTGAGGCATCATCTTCTTAAAAGGGTTTAAATCCTGACTAGGTGAAAGCAGAAGAAAGAAATCTGTAAGATATTTAAAAATATATAGCCTTGCATACACACAAAAACATGTGAACTCATAGGCATGCATCATTTATAATGTTAATTGATTTAATTGACTGTCTTAAGGCCATGCATTAGACCAGCACTAAAGCCCAACATAAGACCTACTGCCTCATGTTCATACAGTTATCTTAACTGCCTTAACCCGAACCCTTAACCTAACTATAACATTATCCCTAAAGCCAAGTCTTGACCCTCAAACGGACCCTTAAAGGGGTCTCAGAAAGTTAGGAAAGGTCCTCACTTTACTCACTCTGATGGTCTAAAAATGGTCCGCACAAAGACAAGTACACACACACATTTGTTTCACTACATTAGTGGGCATTGCCACATTTTTTATATTAATTATATTTTTATGACCTAACCCAGGTCTACCCATAAACCTACCCTAGTGATATAAATACACAAAAATATATTTGAAAGACATTTATTTTATGCTAAATACACAACAAATACATTTACATGTTAAGTACTTAATATAAATACCCTACAATTGTACTGTTGGTATACTAAATTGGTATACTTAAAGGACAAGTTCGGTATTTTACAATTAAAGCCCTGTTTTAAGATCATTTCTGATGAAATACAATGGTTAAGATTGTTTTTTAGACAGTGCTAAAAATCAGATGTGCTGTTTTATTCCGCCGCCTAGAAACGGAAATGGGGTTGTTTTTGTAGTTTTATGCAGTCGCGGTATCGTAGGTTACACTATACACGTGGTTTGCTTGCAATTGGCAAAGGTGCATTATCGCCACCAACTGGGCTGGAGTGTCTATTATTCAAGCTCAACGGAAGAGTACGGTTGTGAGGCGTTCAAAAAATAGGTCTACACAGTTTTACAACGAATGGTAAAACACCTGTTGGAAAGCATCTTTTGCAGCGATTTCTGTGTGAGCATATCAGTGAACACCCTAGACCACTCTTTGTTTTATGCGTTTTATGAAGGATTTTTCCTGTGCACCTATGCTACCACAGAGAGCCTAAGTCCCGCCCCTCCACTTCCGGGTCATGGGACCTTATTTCGGAAAAAATATGTGTGGTGGTAGTCAATGGCGAGAGACAACTTATCTTTTTATTGCGTCTGAACTGTCCCCTCAATTACACATATGATGTTTGTCAATTTAAAAGATAATTCTGAAAGTCAAAAACGTCGCAGTTTGTCATAAAACAGAAGAGTAACTTTTAGTTTTATGTGAAAATCACTCAACGAACTACATCTCAAGTGAAACAACGAGCAAGATCCACTGCTCGTGTGTGTGTGTGTGTGTGTGTGTGTTACGGCGTAACATTACGATTATAACGTAAGAGCCTTCAGTTAAATCTCTCCAAAACAGTGGGTATGTTTTTTAGTAAAACCACCAACTCTGCAGTTGATCCGGACATTTTTATTAACGGTGAGAAAATTCAAATTGTTTCAGAATGTAAATATCTTAGTATTATCATTGACTCCAATCTTAAGTTTAATTCCCAGATTTCAAATACTGTTAAGAAAATAAAATACAATTTATCTAATTTTCGTTATATCAGGAATTCAATGTCTACCCAAGCTGCCAAAATGTTTATGCACTCTATGATTTTTTCACATATGAATTATTGTCTCACTACGTGGTCTCAGGCCAACCACTCCGCCTTGCTACCAATACAATCTCTGTATAAACAAACGCTAAAATGTTTTGATAAGAAACCACATCTTTTTCATCATTGTAAAATTCTATCAAAATATAATTTGTTGAGTTGGGAAAACTTTGTTAAGTTTTCAAACGGCTGTTTAGTTTATAAAATTCTAAATGGCCTGGCCCCACCACCTCTTAGTGAGTTTGTGAGTTTAAGGTCGGATAATAGTCGTCTCACTAGAGGTTCCCTTAGAAGGGACTGTGTTATTAATTTTAGGAAAACTGCTTTTAGTCAATCTGCCTTCTCTATTAAAGCCTCAAAAGAATGTAATGACATCCCAACGTCTGTTAGAGAATTAAATAGTTATAATGAATTTCGTTCTTCTTTTAAAATGTGGCTTTTTAGCATGCAAATATGTCAACATTGATTTTTTTTTATTCTATTGTTGTTGTTTTTTTTGGGGGGGGGGTTTGTAGTTGTTTTGGTTTGTTATGTTTTAATTATAATTGTTGTATGTATATTGTATTTTTAGGTTGCCTATTGTACATCTCGCCCAGGACTGCAGATGAAAACTAGCCTTTTGGCTAACTCTGGCATATTTTGACTTGTCATGTTAATATGCACTGTCCTTGTAATAAAAAAAATAAAAAAAAATAAAAAAAGACTATAGAAACAATGACAGACATTAGCCTCAGTAAAGTTAGCTTCATTCATTGAGAGAAAATGTGCACCTTTGGGGTTTGTAGTCTTTGTAATAATTACGTATTTTCACAGTCTTATACCTCAACGGTTTCACATCAAACTGCGACCTTCTTTACTTTAAAATGTATCTTTTAAATTGACAAACATCATATGTGTAATTCAGGGCACAATTCAAACGAGATCAACATGTTTGTTGTCTCTCGCCATTGACTACCATTCAATATTTTTCCGAAATAAGGTGGTCGACCGGAAGGGGAGGGAGGCTCGCTATTGTAGAGGTCTGGGGGTGCAACCACAGAATGTGAAAATTCTCGGGACAGCAGCATTTGTCTAAAAAACAATCTTAACCATTCGATTTCATCAGAAACAATCTTAAAACAGGGCTTTAATTGTAAAATACCGTACTTGTCCATTAAAGTCTGCTAGATTGGAGCAACTAATCTTTCTTTAGTTATCCGGAAATAGTGCTGAGGTCCAACTAAAGATATACTATAGGTATTTTTGATTCAGCTAAATTGCAAGTATACTTCAGGTACTGTACACTTTAAATATCTTGCATTTAAAAACTGATATTATCATACAATCCTTTCTAATAGTGATACTAAAACACACACACGCGCACACACTTACCTTGACATAGTCACGGAAGGGAAAAAGTGCTTTCCATCAGTAGGGAGTGAGGAAGGACAAGGGCTTATTTCCTATAAGAAACAAACAACCATACTGTTAATTTATATACACACACATGGCAGATGATCAAATCTTAGAGGGTTCATATAAAGGGGTTATGATGCAGCTGAAAAGGAGTTGATTGGTTAGTAGTTAGAATAAAAAGAGGTAGTAAAGAACAGGAAATTCAGACCCACAAGCCATCCAGATGAAGTCAACATGAGAATGTGTTAGCAAACCAATTTACTTCTGTAATGAGTGAAAACGGGTATTTAAGACTTGATTTTAATTTCTTACTGACCCTAAACTTTTGAACAGTATGTTCAACGGGTAACAACAGGTGTCTTGTTTTATCAAACACTGTACATTGTATATTCCAAAAATTACAAAAAGTATCGTCAATGCAACCGTTATGGATCTGATCTTGCTAATCATTAAACTCCACATAATTTCCATCCCTATAGACCAGAATAAGTCCTGGTGCTTGGAGAGATTGAGAAATAAGAGGGCTCGATGACATCAGACAAAAAAAAAGTTATTTTAATGAAAGATTAAGGAACAAATATGTTTTTTCTTTGGAATGAATCATGCAATGGGAAAGTAAACAAGGCCCGTTTTAAACGCATGTTGACTTTATTAATACATCCACGCCACAGTGATTAAGCATTTGTTATCGGTTATGAGCGGATTATTGATCCACACAGACCAGGAAACCAAGCAACACCATAAACAAAGAGAAAGACTGGATTAAGAAATGTTTTCTGGAGAGATCACGAAGGAGTGTGTGACGACAGCGAGAAGAGGGGAGGGTAGAGCCATTATTTGAGTTGTTAGGAACAGGACAGTGTAACGTCTGCAAGCCCTGCGCGAGGCCGAGGGAAACCCTGTGTGTTTACTCACTGTCTGAGGGCTTCTCCCCCAGCACGGGATCCTGTTCCATGGTCTCCATGGAGATCTTTATGCTGGGAACATTCTCATTGGCTGGGAAATCCGACTGTGAACGCAGGGTTGGGATATTCTTACGGCTGGAGTTTTACAGCAACACCGGTTCTAACCGCACAAATAAAGAGATTCCACTCACGTCGTTCATGTCACTGTCGATGCTTCCTTTCTTCTTCTTTTTCTTCTTCTCATCCTCTTTCTTCTTCTTGTCTTTCTCGGGCATGACGTCATCCAGGTAACTGAGATCGTGCTGCGAGAACACATAATCCATGGCCTTTCTCACCGCGACCAATGCAAGAATCTAGAAAACCGACAGAAAGAGATCTCAGGCGCATGCAAAAGAACTAGTATTGGCTGTATTAACCCTGACTTAATAACCAGAAACTAAAAAAGATGAATGGTTTATTTAGCCTTTAGACAAAAGTTTGCATATGCGTTTCTTTTTGTTGAGTGTCACATAAGGCTTTTATGGCTCATATAGTGTGATATAGTGAGAATATGGAGCATAGTCTAACATAAATTTGATTTTTATAACTGTATGTTATATGACTACTTACATAAATGCATATAAATATCAGCTGTCTCTAATATATCTCCCAATAATACTGTATGTCTTAGTATGATGGCATTTAAATGCTTGGTTTTATGATAAAAGCTCTGTAGTTTTTTATGTGGGAGTCCAACATATAATAGAAATACAATGAGGGTTGAGAGAAAGCCTGATGTATCATATTTGATACTCATATTTTAACATGGGTTTTCTAAAAAAATAATATATGGATAATAAAGTAAGCCCAAGTTGCTTTGAGTGTTCTTCTTAAAACAATATAGAAATGATTGTTTACTTTGTAAAAATCATTAAAGATTTCACAGCAAAAAGACATGTGAACCATGACCTGAAAGATGATGTTTTTTATAATTATATTAAAGGTTTTTACTTGCTAAACAAGTATAAACTGTTAATCAGAGGGCTGAATAGATGTAGCACGATGTGTGCAATGTCTTAAAAACTAGAGAACAAAAGTTGTTTGTTGACCTGATTAGTTTTCCAGTTTTGTGTACAATTCAGTATCAGATAGTAATTAAACTGACTGGGCGAAGTTCAGGGAAGTATTATTTTTCTTTGCAAATCACATACTCACCATGACGGGGAAGATGATGGCTGCTACTGTTGACTTCAGGATCCACAGGAGGGCCAAACAGAGCATCTATGCACAAAACACACGCATTAATGATGCATATACAGCACTTAAGCAATAGAGATGAGTCTTGTATGAGGATTAGCATGTGACCACACACACACACACACACACCTGTAAGAAGGTGAACAAGTGAACCCGTCTGAGCGGTACGTGTCTCAGGTAGATCAGATCTGGTTGGTGTTTTGCTGGCATCAACAAGAGCTGCAGACGATCCATAAACTACACACACACACACACACAAATTTTTATTCATTGTTTAAAGTATTCAGAGGCAGACAACCTGTTTTCCCCCCACAAAAATCTAAAAATCATGAACTTTTTTAAAGTGTATATATATATATATAAATTAATTATATTCAAATATATATATATATATAAATTTTAATTTTCATATATAATTAAAATAAATGAATTATATGAAATACTTATATTATAAACTTATATTAAATAAACATAAAAAATAGAATACATAAATTTTAAATATATATATATATATATTTTTTTTAATATATCTTATATTATTGAATATATATATATATATATATATATAAAATATACAATAAATAAATATTACAATTATATATATATATATATATATATATATATATAAAATTATTGAAATAATTGTATTTATAATTATTTACAACAATTTAAATACATATGCAAATGATACAAATATATCTTTAACAGATGTATTTAAGAGTTTTCCGATTTATTGAAAGAAAAGCTAAATATTAAAATATATTTAAAATACATAATGTCAATGTTAAAATATATATTTAAGAGTATTACATTTTATTGAAAGAGAATTAAAAAATAAAATTAAAATGCAAATCGTATTGCCACTATGCAAACTATTGTGCGAATCTGAATGAATAAGACATGCAAAGTAACTGATTTTAGCATGTTGCTATGTTTTTGCCAACAACTTGTTCTGCGTCAAAGAATTAACAGCAAGCACCGTTAATAAAACAAATATTTTGATGCCCAACTCTTTCCTCTAGGTATAGCCAGGCGTATTACACCCTGAAAATCCTGACAATGTCTGAATTATCCCGACTTTCCTGAACTCAGATCAAGTTCCAGGCTCCAGCGGAGATCAGGTAGTCAGCAGGATTAGGGGCTTTCTCTGCCGAACAGTAACACGACACTCACCTGGACGCCATTGAGAGAGGCGACACCCATGTAGAGGAATACGCCGTACAGGACCGGCATAGGAATGAACTGCAGAGATCAAACACATGAGCATTACATACAGAATACTGCTGCCATTTGTCTTCAAACACATATTGTACACACATACAGAATCAATAGTTACTTGAAGACAAAAAGTTATGTCCACCGAGCACACCCCAAATCCCAACCTTGTCAACATAATACGCTCCAAACGGAGATTTATGCAAAGCAAACAGTTTCTAGTGAAACAGAATTTGTGTTATTGACAAAAAGCTCACAGCAATGAAAGCCTCTGTCTCATCTCACATCCTGGAGTTTTATCCCATTCAGAGGTCAATATCCTCTTTAACCAAACCGTGACGTTTACAAAAGTAAATGTCCAGCAGGGGGCAGTAACTGCACTGACCTCTAAAAAAAGTGCCATGGTATAATAGGTTTTTGAACATGTATCACAAATATAACATGGTTTCCTAAAACGCATCAGATGGTATTATCATACTGAACATTGGTACTGGAAACCACATATTACATGGTACTTCCATTAATATTATAGTACAACTATGGTACATGTCCAGAAAAAAATATTTTGTGCATGCAAATACCCTTATATATGATGAATAAGATATTATAATAGCAAAAAATGAAGTACTATGGTGCTTTTTTATTAGTTCTTATAGAATTCAGAAATAAAGTGTCAGTTCATGGAGATCTGGATAAGGGCATGATTTATAATTGAGCCTTATAATGTATTCTTTTCAAATAACTAGAATAGCTTAAAATACCCTAAGAACTATTTTGTAGACACAATTCATATTTTCTCAAATATTCTTTAGTTTACACCACAGCTATGAATCATGATTTGCTTCCTGATATTACGAACCACAGTCATGAGTCATTCATATGTTTGGTCCATTTTCCCAGAAGAGAATAAAAAAAAAGCGATAAATATGTACATCTGCTGAAAAAAAAGTGTGTTTTGTCAACTTTTAGCAGTACACATGAACTCCAAATCCTATTTTCATTTCACGGTTTGTTTTGTAACATTCTCTCCTATTCTCTTAGACAACGATCAGTGTCAGAATGTGAAAAGACAGTATAGATAGAGTTTATGAAATATAAAAGTTCAAACCTTCAGAACGGGGGCCATTAAAACCGACAGGCCCGTCAAAATGAACACCATTGTTCCCGTGACTCTCTGCTCTCTGCAGGAGAAAGAATCGACAAAACAAGCATGAGCCACGGTCAAGTGAATCTAGAAGATGTTATGTGACACTAATAAAGCAATATATGATTTATCAGATATTTTATTTGAGATATTCAGTCATTTTGGGATTATAAGCATCGGCTGATAACGTCTGCGTGGCCGATGAAGTGGGAGTGTAACTTCCTTCTTGTGAAAGTCAATGGATAATAAATGTTAATGGATAAACTACTTCTGAAATACATTGTGTAAAATATTGCACAATTTTGTGTATACCTCATTTGCTGTCATTAAATTGTATTCACTATTATATCATCCATATTATTATTATTATTATTATTTGTAGATATCCTCCTTGTAAAAATGCTTATTTCTTTCTTAGTATTTGTGTCATATTTTCCAGCACAAATATCTAAACATTCTCAAATCAAGATACATTTACTTGAGAAGCAAAATGACTACTAAGCATAATAAAGTTATGCTTAAAACTAAACAAACCATCTTAATTTTACCATTGAATTGAGTTTATTATGTCTTGTTTTAAGCATAAACTCACTTAACTTTGATCAGTGTTATTGAGATATTGTTTTACTTTTTATTCATGTTTTTATATTTTCTGCTTTCATTATAATTTTAGTTAAAGTTTTAGTCATTTTTATAATGACAATTTTAAAAAAAAATGCCTATATAGTTTTTATTTTAGTAATTATTTTAGTATATCAAGTTAAACTAAATGAAAATGAGAAATGCTGCCTTGCAATTAGCTTAAATAATAAAAAGTTTAAGTGTTTTTATATTTTATTTTATTTCAATTAACATTTATTTTATGTGCAAGGAACCAAAAATGATTTTATAGTTAAAGTTTCAGTAAACTAGAACACTGATTTTGAAACTTTGTTCAGAAAAGTAATTTAATGTAAGTAAATGTATCTTTATTTAGGAATTTTTTGATTCTTGTAACAAAAATACAAGGTTCTTAGGAGACATAGTGGTGTATTAAACACAACTTGTTTAATTGGTTGTGATTGGTCAGAATTTAGAAAGTACTTGATAAGCACAGACACATGATGATGCCGTAATCATGTTCTGCATAGTTTAAATACAGTTTACAATGTAATCGTTTTTAATTCCCAATATGTGAACAGCTTGGACTGAGATCTTCCCCGACTTCCTAAGTTGTCTATGAACCTCTCTTCCGTTCAATGACACAAAATGTTTATACAATGTTCTGTATTGTACTATCCTGTACTGTAATGTCAACGTGTCATGCAGCGAAAAAGGATTCATTCAAACTATAACCAGATGTAGTCTGTATAATGTCAAATATACTTTTTAGTCAAACTATCATAAGAGTGTAATTTTAATATGCTCTCCTGACATGATGCCGGTAAATCACAGATCTGGTGCAAACACCCACATCTCTATGCTCAGATACTTTCTTAACTGCTGCTTGTTATTGTTGTGTGATTATTTTGTTATTAAGAGGAAACACGCATATATTTAACTGGTTCTTCTAAGCAAAGAACGAAGAATAACTTCGCGGTGAATTTTATCGGGGCATTGAATCACACTTAGCCACTTGTACGTTACGTGTGCACGAGTTCACTTAATGGCCACAGGTGTCACTATTAACAAGGGTTTCTGAATTCTACATATAGTCTTGAGCAAGATTAAAATGCATTTTGGCTTTCCCCTTTACCTGACTCCAAGGAATTTGGGTTGTTCCCCAGGCGCTGAGGTTTCAGTTTCCATCTTGAGGGAGTCTATGTGCGCGATGGAGATGACGGTCGCCGCTACGTACCAGGGCAGCCCCATGAACGAACACAAAATCAACAGAATCGAGACCCAGAACAGGTCGAGGTGGTACCCAGCTCCCTTCTGCACTCAAATGGGAAAAATAATGTCAAATAAACAAGTGCTTTTTTCTGTATTGTGTTTGAGAGGTAATTCCTGTCTGGGGTAAAACAGTTATAGTTTGCGTGCAGAACAGCTCCGCATGTGCCGGTGTAATCCTCTGATGATAATCCCAGATAATATTCCACAACAGTACCTTGAGCTTGTGCTCCTTGCGGTTGACGATGACGGCTGTGATCTGCTGGTCCATGAAGACCAGGATGGTGACCAGGAGAGCAGGTAACACCGACACCAGGCAAACCCACCAAGGGTTTCCTCCAAATGGTGGAACAAACCAGCCACGATGGGGACTCGTCGGCTATTTAGGTTAGAAAACAGGATAATTAAAATTTTAAAGATGTAATCCCGCAGGTCTCTATCATATGATCTTAATTACATTTCTGTACTATACTATAAAATAATATATATATATATATATATATATATTATAACTCACAGATTATATAATATTATATAAATGTACAAAAATAATGTAATTATATAATTTATAAATATATTTATAATATTATAAAATTTCTAAGTTATAGTACTTATTATATATATATATATATATATATATATATATATATACGGTATATCAATTGTACATTAACCATTTCATATATTTATATTAAATATTTTGATTACTTTTTTAATTACATTTTACATTATATCATTATATTTTATCATATAGATATATGATATTTAGAATATAATATTTAATTATACACAAAAATATATTCGAATATAATGTTATATATGTATACTGTATATATATGAATGTATACATATATAAGAAATATAATATATTTAATTACACTTTTTTAAGCATGACAAGAAAACATTATTAGCAAACATTATATAATACAGTATATATATATATATATATATAGTTTATGTATATGCAAATTGCATTATAACAACAATATTCAATTATCTATTGATCTGTTATGCATATAAAATGTATTATGGGTAAAGCTAATATGAAGTGGAAGCTGTATTGATTTAGCTTGAGTCAATACAGATTTTGTTGCAACAATACGACCACAGAAGTCTTGATTCTTTGTCTGTATGTGAGCGCACACACACACGTATTCAAGTGTCGTACATCAATGAGCAGTTTGAAGGTATAATGTGGCACTATTAAAGGATTACTGTAACATAGATGGGTCCTCAAAAGAGATTAAACCTTTTCGACACAAATACACACCTTGAATTCACTTGGCACTATTAGTTTGGGCGTATCAACGCCGACCAGGGCGTCCACACCACAGAAGATAAAAATGGCGAGAATAATGGCAAAATCACTGATCAGTTTGCGGATCTGCAAAATGTAAACAACCATTCAGCATAAGAATTCACATGGGAAGATCACATGACACAGTACAAATAATGTACAAACAACACGGGCATTACAACATCAGGACAGATGGACGGATAAAATGAAGGACAGACAGATATAGAAATACAGACAGACAATTACAACAAAAGAGCTATAATAAACTAATATAATAACGATCTGCAATCAAAAATGTCAACTGAAGAAATCAAACAGAAATACACCACTGATCACGGAGCAGAAATGCACAATAAATACCAGAATCAAAAGTGAAAACTCTAATCTTTAAATCTGTAATCTCTAATTAGTGGAGATTAATGGAGATTTACAATGTTTTAATGAGTGCAGATTGGTAATATGCTGCAGCATTTTTGTAAGGATCAGTGATGGGCCATTTTCCATTACAGCTGCCAAACCAAAAGATCAGTTTAATTCAAAAGCAATGACTTTCAGATTGAAGCTTAAAGTGTGTGTGCGTGCGTGCGTCGGTTTTCCTACATCCTCATGAGTACAGTATATAACCACATCAAGATCCTCATTAATGTGTGACGATGACGTGTGTGTTAGTGTACCGTAGTTGGGAAAAATCTGCTGGTTTTGAACTTCTTCAGGCCCATGGAGCAGGTGTATGTGCCGAAGAACAGAATGAAGGACATCAGCGTGATATCAGGGACGTATTCACAGGCTGGTCCGAGCAGCTGACCGCCCCACTCCAAACACTCTGAGCGGGTCAGAGACATCCAGGTGGCGTTCAAGTGATGCTGCGCAGGCACAAGCGCAAACAATTATAGTCTTTCCAATCAATTAAAAAAAACACAACAACGTTCAAGCTGTTTAAATATATGCTTTGTACTTGTGCAACTAGCTACTAATGGCTGTATTTAACGTATCGGGGTGTACTGATGCATTGTGGGTAATAAAGCAATAATGTAAAAATAAATCACAGAGATGTACCTGTCCAGTGCTGTTCATCAGGGCTTCCATTTTCTCCATGTACAGACCTGAACTGTTGCCTTTTGAAGAAAAAACAAAAAAATACGAGTTTAGCTTTTGTAAGAGAAATTTTAAACTGAATATTAATCTAACCATGGTTTATCAGTTGACCTCATTTATCTGCTAAATCTCTGAGACAATGTACTAAGACATATTGTACTTTAGAGATGTGTGTGTCAGAACACCTGATTGTGTGTATAAATGACAAATATGAGAAATGGAACCAGTTCGGACCTGACATCTATGAAGTAATCATTTAAAGAAAGTCTCCTCTACCTAGTAACAGAAGAGGCAGTAAGTGAAGAACCAATCATATTATCTTTCCTTTTTTATGTATCTTTTCTTTTTGAACATATGCTTGTGTGTTTTATAAACATAGATGTTTTCTTGTTTTAGACAGAGATGATTTATACAATAGATGTGTCTTTTCAGTAAATGCTGTGTCAGGGAAATTGCAAATAGGACAGACAGGCCAGGTCAAAAGGACATAAAATTAGGCACAAGACAAATCGCGAGACATGTGTGATTAAGGGGAAATGAAACTGTGTACGAAGAGGAGGGGGTACATCTTGGAGGGTGATATTTTGTATATAAGCTCTTTGCCCTCCTCATATCAGACCCTGTCTGTGTGGGAACTGCCTTTCTTGCAAGAAATAAACATGTATACTTATGACTTTCCAGATCTTCATTGTACTTTAATTATTATTTAAGATCTAAGTACAAAAATTTCCATAACAGTTCATCTTAAATCTGATGTTGAATGCTAGCGGTCGAATTAAATCCCTGAGTTTCTTACTCTCGGGGGAAAAAAAAATATTCTTTGATCAGTATTTTGTCCAGCTTTTTGCAAAAAGAATATCTAAGTGCATAATATAAACAAAACAGGGTAAAAAAAATAACTTGGTGAAAACAAATATTAATATCAATCTGTTACTATTATTTTAGTAGTATGTTAATATTAAAAAAAAAGAAATTATTTATAAAAATGTACAAGACAACAAACTGATTATTTTTTGTAGCTTTCTCTCTCTATTTCATACGTTCTATCTCATTTTCATTTTCACTGATGCACTGTTACAACAACATAATAAAAAAATATATATTATACTGATAAAAACAAAGTAAAAAAAATAATAAGGTAAAAAATAACTTTTAAATAATTAGATATTTTTTCTAAAAACAAGTATTAATATTAAAATACAAATATAAATTTAGTAATATATAATATTATTAATAAAAATAAAGTGTGAATTCAAAAAAACGTTCAAGAAGACATTATTATTGTCTTTCTCTCGGATCGTCTCACCGTCTGGAGGACTGCAGCGGCAGCCGTACTGCGTGACCAGGTCTATGTCATAACCGGAGTTGATTGGATGATGGTGTGCCAGTTTGATCATTTTCTTAAAGGCGTCGTAGATGAAGATGAAGCTGATGAGAGCCGAAAAGCCTTCCTCAGTGAAGCGGGTGAAATACTGCACCAGGAAACTGGCGTCTGTGGCGACCAGGACCAGACACAGAAAACCAGACCACAGGCCGATCCACAGCCGGAACTCCAGATAGTCGAAATCATTATCCCTGAACCGATCAAACAAACACACAGCATCGTTACAGTGTACCTACTAACAATCAAAACACAGGCGGGAATAGCCAACCAATGAAAGAATAGGGATAAAATGAGAGTATTTGTTAAATGGCATAATACACACAGTATGCATATGCAAGCTTTCTTTTTGCATGGGTTACCAGGATAACTTTCCACTTCACCAAAAATCATGTTGTGCCACTGATCCCAGAATGCTCTAATAATAATAACTGTGACTTCTAATCTTGTGAGTTATGTTAGGTTCAGGTTCAGGTTCAGGTTTATTGATATAGCCCATTTCATACACAGGTAGCCCAATGTGCTTTACACAATCATAGCAGTTAAGAAACAATTTACATACATCAATCACACACACAAATTCAAAAAATAAATATCATGATAATATCAAAAATAATAATCATTACAAAAAATAAAAACATGTAGCTTAACAAGGAAATAAAAAGAGTCAGTAGAAAAGCATCGTAAAAAAGTTTCGTTTTTAATCTAGATTTAAAAATAGAGATAGTGGGGGAGGTCTTAATGTCTACAGGAAGATGGTTCCAAAGACGGACCGCATAGCAGCTGAAGGCTGCCTCTCCCTGCTTAGTACGAGCGCTGCATTGTACTAGCTCGAGTTTACCAGCAGATCTAAGTGATCTTGAGGGGGTATATTTTTTAAGCATATCTGCCATATATAGAGGTCCTTGACCATTTAGTGTTTTAAAAACAAGAAAAAGAACTTTAAAATCAATTCTATAAGTCACTGGTAACCAGTGTAGAGATTTTAAAATTGGTGTGATATGATCCTAAATGTTAAAATGTGTGTGTGAGTGTATAATGTATAAACACATACACACACATAAATATATGTATATACAATACCAGTGTTGGGCAAGTTACTCTAAAAAAGTCATTAATTACTAGTAGCTAATTACCTCTTCAACAGTGTAATTAGATTACTGTACTCTCTCTAAAAAGTATTTCATTTCTTTTAAATACTAATTACTCTAAAAATCCCATATCAATCTCAACCAGCTGAATAATACAAGGACATGAATCTGTTTTAATTATTTCAAATAAATACTATAAAATTGCATGAATTATCCTTAAACTGACCACGGTGGAGAAGGTTGCATTATAAAAACATACTTTTTAACATCAGACAATACATTTTGATGTTAAACCCACTATTGTTTTATGTCTGATCTCATGACATTTCACACTTTTTCCATACATATTTTACAATAATTCATACGGATTTGTACGAGTGCTGTCGTACGATTTAGACACCTCATAAAATGCATACAAATCGCTGTGAGATCGGATTGATCCATACACAGTATTTACCTCAATTACATCAAAAGTAAATGTAATTAAATTACAGATAAATGAAGAGTATACCTTACTTTACATTTTCAAGGGAAAAGTAATTAAATTACAGTAACTAATTACTTAGTAATTAGTTACACCCAACACTGTACAGTACAAACACACACATACTGTATAAACATAAACTTTTATGTTGGATACGCGATTAATCGTTTTGACAGCACACACACACACACACACAGTGTTGGGAGTAACGCATTACAAAAGTAATACATTACAGTAACATATTACGTTTTGCTGTAACGCAGTAGTGTAAGGCATTACTAATCAATTTTCAGTAATATTTTACTCGTTACATGTTCAGTGAGGCTTGTATTACAGTTGTATTACAGTGTATTGTCTGCTTTTACTTCTTAAAGGCAACAGACTATGTGAAAGTTTTAAAGCAGACTTTTAGTGCCAGTTCAGAGCGGTGGCGTCTGTAACATTGTTTTTTCCTCATAAATGCGAACACGAAAACTAAAATAAAATGAATATTTTAAGTTCTATGGAGACTGGAGAGCCAACCCTTCCTCATCCGATTTGCGCAGTGTAATTAACAGAATTACAAAAAATGTATTTTGCCTCCTATTTTTTTGTCATGCATGAATGTGTCTTTTCCCTAATATTAAAAATAAAACATAGACTGATATTTGTCTAATATCTGGAGTCCTTTAAGGAAGTAGCCTATATACATTTCAATACATGTATTTTCTGAGAATTTTTATTTCAAGTTTTGACTGCAAATGTCATCATGTCCATAATGCTGGACTTCCCCAATTTTAAATAATTTATCCTCAACTAGTTTTGTGGTGTAGGTCTATGTATTTTATAATGTTAACTTCAAATAATACTAATAGCCTAATTTAAAGATAAGGCAGCATTTGATATGGACGGTAAGGAGAATAACGCTGGAGTTGGAAGAGGTGTGTCGCGATTCTGTAGGTTCGTTGATCTGAGTAGTGTGGCGAATCGCGATTTCGGTTTCATATTGCATATCGTTACAGCCCAAAAGTTAAGTTCTACTTAGTTATTTTGGTGAAAGTAACTCAAAAGTAATACATGAGTAATGTAACACATTACAATTCTGGGACAGTAATATTGTAAGGTAATGAATTACTTTTAAATAACAGTAACAAGTAATACCTAATCTATTACAGTTTGGAAGTAACTTGCACAACACTGCACACACACACACACACATATATATATATATATATATATATATATATACTTGTGTTACAGACTGAATCCAGACATTTTTATTGATTTAAAATGTACTCATCATATTAGTATGCTATCTTACTCATCAAATATCTTACACTTCATAATTATAGACTCAACGGTTTAGACAGGAACCCTCAGCAAAGCTTAACTGATCCACGCTAGCAGAAGCAGACATGAAATCTGACTCAATTATTCATAATGGAACATAAACACAGAAACCTGAATCTAGAGAGATAGAGAGAGAGAGAGAGAGAGAGAGAGAGAGAGAGAGAGAGAGAGAGAGAGAGAGAGAGAGAGAGAGAGAGAGAGAGAGAGAGAGAGAGAGACAGAGACAGAGAAATGTATTCATGCACACACACAGACAGACACACACACAAAGGCAGAGACAAAGTGACGAGACCTTGCCGGAAAGGTTGAAAACAATAAGATGTGTCTTGATTTCAGATAACTTAGAACATGTTGTCCCTCAGATGACACACAACTAAAAGAGTTCCTGGGAATGTTGCTTGTTTTTGGTCAAACTAAATATTACATATCAATACAGAAAGGATCAATAAAACATGTAGATTTGGACCCAAATTCATGCCGATGTTCTCAATTGATTCTTTAAATGTGAAATGGACATATCTGGCTATTAAATCTGATTGAAATAGCTCATATAAACAATGAATTAATGAATGAGCACCAAATTATTAAAATGATGGAGGACCAACATTGCATATTGCAAAAAGTATTTCTTATAACTATTATTAATGTGATTGTTATATAATTAATAATAATAATACATTTAGAAATTAAAAAAATATATATTATTATTATTATTGTTTTTAGAAATTTAATAATTATAATTTTTTTTAACAATGAACCATTAAAACAGCCTACAGTTGGAGGATCTACATTGCATGGTGAAAGAACCATTTATTGATATTATAAGTAATGTGATTATTATATTAATTTAAGAACAGCAATAATAACAATTGTAAAAAAGATAAAAATATTAAATATAGTAATATTATAATTAAGTAAATAAATATTTATTAGTAATACATATTGTTTTTGTTATTGTTATAATTATTTTTTCTTTTATGATTAATGCAATCCAGTGTATTAATTTAATAATACTAATATTAATACTAATAACATACTTAGGTAAGTTAATACATAACTATTAATAGTAAATACATTATTATTATTATTGTTGATATAATTATCATAGAATTATTTTTTCATTTTATTATTAATGCAATAATTAATTCAACACTTTTTTTCTTATTTTGCTGCTCCCACTGTTTTCTAACTGATAGTTAAGTGGATTTTACCACACCACATTTTGCCTAACAAATCTCGTAAACCAACCTTGTGTTTAGTATGTACTTGTGTATGCATGTTTCAGTGTGTAGGTGTGTGTGTGTGCCACCCACTTGCTGAAGTTAAAGAGCAGTCGTTCGAAGACGAGCACGGGCCCGGTGCTGCTCAGGATGGTCAGAGGTTGACCCGCAAACAGACAGAACACAGCACCGGTTAACGCCGTCCCCAAGAAACTCTCCAACACGCCCTGCACAGAGATCCAGCGGAAAAACAAAACCACTAAAACAGAGCACTAAAACAGGAACTCTTATCAGATTTGAACCTGTATGATGTCAGCTGTTTCTGAAAACGCTTAATCAGACAAACACAGTTTCCAACACAAACGGCTCGAGTTTTCTCAGCTAAGCATCACTATTACAGTCATTTGCTCATACGATGGGTTGGTTATTTGAACAAGCCTCTTAATATTAAACATAAATACACAGTAAGAAACAAACAGAAAAGGCCATTTTCATTTCATTTTCAACCCTAAAACAACACAATGCAATGCATATAAAAAAAAAGAAATCAATACAGAAATTATTAGAATGTCAATTTTGACTTTAAATTTAATTTTGAATAAATGAAAATTTTGACTTTTTAATCTCATCATTTTTACATTTTTATTGAGATTTTTTGTGTCTTATAAAAATGATTTGGTATGTCATAATTTCAACTTTTGCAATTTTTTAGTCTCATTGTGACTTGGTGTGTCATAAATTAGATTTGTATCTTACAATTTTGACTTTTAATTGAATTATATTAATTTAGTTTGTCTAACTTCGACTTTTCATCTCATAATTATAACTTAGTATGTCATAATTCCAACTTTGATGTCATAATCATGTTTTACCAGAGCATGATATATATTCTGTATATATTTTATGAATTTTTGTAAGTATAACATCAACCTGTCCAGGGACAGCGGGTGGAAATTAGCATTTTTTTGCTATAACCTGGCACATGACATCTCTTCTTTTTTAGACTCATTTTTTTTGTGCATTGTCCCCATAAACAAATAAAATTAAAAAAATTAAAAAAAAAATGTTTTTTTTTTTTTCTTATGTGACAGAAATGGGCTTCCATAGAATTGTGTCTTGAGTGCATTTTTAACGAGCATGTTTGCATATTTACCTTCAAACACAAGTCATCTTCAAGGTTAATGAAACACAAGAGAAAAAGTCCTTGTGTGCAATTCAGCAACCTGCAATCTGAACCTAAAGCTATTATTTGACGTATCTGAAGCAGGCTTTGTAGGTGAGGGCAGAGGTCACGATGGATTCCCTTAGAGGGATTTTTTAGAAGTGTAGTTGTGTGATTTTATGTGTGTGTGTGCTTGTGTGTAATCTGAGGATATTTATAGCTCATCCTCCTTAGCCTGCGCCATATAAATGCACTGCTAAATATATGGGCAAACTTTGCAGTCACTGCACATGTCCGAAAGTACCACGCACAATCCTGACTATTTATATACACAGTTGTTCGAAGAAAAGTGCTCTTCCTCCCTCTCCCTCTCTCTCTCTCTCTCTCTCTCTCAGTATAGAACGGATCAAATCCCAACATGCAACATGTACATCTGTTTCCAGAAACACAATCTAGGAAACACATAACATATATTTGAAGTGACATGTTTAATAATCAAACAGCTATCTGTGGCCTTTAAATCCCTGGAGCTGTGAACACAATGTCAGCCAAATTTCATTTCCAGGAGCTCCTCAATAAACCCACAATAGCCAAATCGCCGGACACTAGTTCAGTACAACACACACAAACTCACAGTGAAAAAGACTTGAACAGTCTAACCTGCATGTTCTCCGTCGCATCTCCCAGCAGCCCTCCGAAGGTGATGGCGTTAGTTACGGTTCCCAGGTAAATAAACAAGATGGCAGACAGTGACTGAATGTGGATAGCGTCGTAAAAATCGCTCGCAAAAAATGGAAGTTTCCTCTTGATGTCCAGAATGAGACCCCCGCAAAACCTAGGAGAGATAGGGATTGTGTTTTCTTACTGAAAAATGCTTTCTCAGGCAACCTAAAAAATATGCTGACATTAAAAATCTATTTTTTGTATTCATTTTAAACAATAATATTATATGGTTTTAATATTGCATACACCATCAAAAGTAATAGAGTGCAACAGCGCCCGGCCACGTTTTCAGTGACGTTGGTTTCCATTAATTTTTCCCAAAGGGATTTCAAAACAGTCTTTGTTAAAGCGTTATAAGCCATGAACCAAACTAACCAGCTACAAGGTAAATCATATCCTTACAAACTATGATTTGAAGCAAAAAATTAAAGCAAAATTTGCAAATCTGACAAAAATACAAAAGTACAAGACTGTGTAATTAACGGCTCAAGTGAGGGAAAGAACTACAATCCCATGAAGCATTGCGAACAGCATAATTGAATTAAAGCTACACTGTGTGATTTTGACCCCCATCTAGAGGTGAAAAGGTATATGAACATCCAATGAATATTAGTTTCTGTTCCTCTCAATTACGATTTCGTTTTAACTCCTACGGTGGCCAATGTGGTCCAAGATTAACATGGCTTCCAGTTCGACCTCGTCCATGAGTGTTAACTCAAACGTAAACGCGAAAGGCGAAGCTTGAATTAACGGGTATGTCCCTCTTTGGCTAATGTACATTCAAGATGGAGGGTCAACATGGCGACCGACACTAGAACCCCTTACCCGTATGTATTTTCAATGGCATATTATACACTCACGAGAATACTTTATTACTTGAATGAAGTAAATATACATTAACCTTGTAGTTCACAGTAGGACTGTCTTTAAAAGTTTGCAAGTTATCATTAAAAAAAAAATTCTCTATGGTGAAAATGAATACTGTTGTAAATAGATTGGTGAGCAATGAGCATATGAGACTTTCCAGAAACATAAAAAAACAACTTGTGAATGGTAGTGTAAATATAATAATTGCGCATTTTTACAGCACTTTTCATAGTTTACAAATAACAAAGGTGCTCACTGTGCTCATGAACGTGTATTGTGCCAGTTTATACACTCACTTGCCGGTCATTTTGAGTTCATCACCGACCGCATGGCCGCCGCCTCCACCCGGACTCCCATCATGAGGCGTAGCGCCATTCATCTGAAAACCTTCCCCTCCGGCAATAATGTTTTTACTGGAAACACACACACATTTGCTTCACCACTATAAATCGCTGTCATATAGTTGATTAAATGAACATTCACCAGATTCATTATCCTGTAAGGTCAATGACTGCTGGTACCGTTTATCAGCAGACGGGATGGATTTAGGAGGTTCAATTCTGATGTCAGGATCCCACTCTCCAGGAGGAAGAACAATGACTTCATCTAGGAATTCGTCAATCCCTGCCAGCAGGTCGCCACGATCTTTCGCTTTATATGCTATGTCGTGAAACACCTGCAGGGGCCCAAATAAAAACGGTGAAAATACTGTAAGCATGCATATAAACACATGAATGAGAGGGCTTTCACACACACACACCTCATCAGACATGAGCGTGGCGATTGCACGTCCGATTTCCCGGTATGAATTGGCCTTTCCTTTGGGCCCCAGCAGAATAAAAAGGAACCTATAAATACAAATAGATATTGTTTTAATCAGGGCTTGACATTAACACCAGCCAACACGGCGTGTAACACAGTCACTCCTACTGGACACTTTGGCGGGTTGAATTTTATATATAATATATACATTTTTCTAATGTAATCTTTAAAAAGGCATCTGAAATAATAAACTAAGTGCAATATAGCGTCAAAAATACAGATTTTTCGATACATATGGACACAGAAATATCTGAAATGCTTCCCATGCTCATTTTCTGCAGTATACTGTAGATACACAATACTAGCTGCGCTTTCTCTCTCTCTCATCTCTCCGCCAGCGAGTGACACACAAACCCTCCTCGCTTCACTGACACGTTTCATTTGCTCCGGATGAATGTTATTGCTGTTACAGGGCCTTCATTTTTGGTGGGATTGACTCATTCCCGCAGATTTTGTGCTCACACCCAAAGTGCGGCGCATAAAGCCGCCTCTCAGTTTTAAATTGAGTTATTTTCCGTGGCTTATTGCGCAGTAAAAAAGCACTAAATAATGTCAAACTTTTTGGTAAGTATTCATGTAAACACAGTCAATTATGTTTTAAAGCTACACTGTGAGATTTGTACCCCATCTAGCGGTGAAAAGGTACTGTATATGACCATCCAGTGAATATTAGTTTCTGTTCCTCTCAATTCCGATTTCGTTTTATCTCCTACGGTGGCCAATGTAGTCCAAGATTAACATGGATTCCAGTTCGACTTCGTCCATGAGTGTTAACTCAAGCGTAAACGCGAAAGGCGAAGCTTGAATTAACGGGTATGTTCCTCTTTGGCTAATGTACATTCAAGATGGAGGGGCAACATGGTGACCGACACTAGAACCCCTTACCCGTATGTATTTTCAATGGCATATTATACACTCACGGGAATACTTTATTACTTGAACGAAGTAAAAATACATTAATGAGCACATATATTTTTGAAAGAACTAAGTGTTTTTAGCTAAGAATAAAATAAAAGAGCTGCACAGTGTAGCTTCAAGTGAACATAAACAGTTGAGAAAGAAAACGCATGTGTAACAGTAAAATGGATCCTTGTGTCAGTTCTTAAACGTACAGTATGCGATTTTTGGCCACCAGGGGTCACTCATTTAAAATAATAACAAAAGACATACTTTGATGACGTCGGGAAAGAGCGTGGGCTCACGGGAGTTGTTGTCGCTGTCAATGACAACCAACTCAGCTCATGACATCATCGTTTCACAAAATATTCGGATATACGGCATCTCTCTGTAGATTTAGCTTGTCAAGAAGCTTTAAATGCAACCCCAATGTTTACCTGTGTCATGCTTCTCCTGTCCCAAACCCTTCTCGGGTCATATTTTTCAGGTACGTTTGAGCTTTAGCTAATGAGCTGGCTGTAGCAGCAGAACGTGCACGCAAAGCGTAATCGTGGTCCATAACTATAATACAGACGAATATAAATATTAATATTACTACTTCAATGAATGACCTATTTTAGAACATTTTTCATATATAGAGCGCACCGGATTATAAAGCACATAAGATACTGCAGTCAAACGTTTGACTGGGTTTGCGTTATTCATCCACTATGTGCTAAAGGCTAAAGGGAATGTAGTGAGTGCCGGAGGTGAGGCGTTTTTTTAGTAAGCATGAGAGAGCTGATCCGGGCACGTACATTCGCAGCCTGACTCATAATGAGTATTAATGTGCGGCAGCTCGCTAACAGCAACAGTTGGCTGTTTTGAATGAGACGACACGGTTACTGTGAACAGGGAGCGCTTTATGCGCGAGGAGCAGCACCGGGGACAGTGTGTCTGTTAAGAGTGAGCGCTCGTGAGCGGGCACGTGATTTACACACATAAAAATAAGTACTATTTTTTTTTCTTCATCATTTTCTTTGCTTTATTGGCGGTAGTCCAGTGTTCCCCTTTGTGTTTGGCGGTTTCGCCGGGTTCCGCAAGGAAGTTAGAGAAAATAGAGGAGTCAAAGGTTATATGACGCCATAGACGGGCGACGAAACGGAAATAAAGAAACGTCCCGTGTCTTCGAATTAAACTATAAATTTCTCCGTATTTGAAATTTGGTGGAAACTGTCGGGATAATGTAAGTACACATCTAACAGAAATATATAACATAGATACAATTATTTGTGCTATTTTTAATGCAGAAAAAATACATATTGTGGCTTTAAAGTGACAGCAGCCTAATATTCATGCTACCAAATTATAAGATAATATTACAATTATCTATATGGCAGTTTTTCCCTTTGGTATCGATGTCAAAATTGTGGCCAGTGAAAATGTTGAGTAACTTCGGAAAGCCACTAAATACAATAGTCAAACACTGGTTGTAACTAGGGGTGTAACGATACCCTCGTGTCACGATTCGATACATATCATGATCCTGAACTCACGATACGATATTATTGCGATACTCCAAAACATATGGTAAAAGGTTAACAAAAAATCTACTGTTGATTAAAATGCTAACTTTGATATTACATTGTGGGTTTAAATGAATAGGCTTGAACTTGGTGCTTGTAACCCAAGGACAATAGAGACACCAGAATAAAAATATTCATGATTCTGAAGCTGAAAATTGCACTCTTTCACTGACTAGATATATTTAAAGTAATGTTGGCCACTTTTTACTGGTAACATCAGATATTTGGCATTATCAGAACCCACAAATATCCCCCCAGTGCATTATTATACATTATAATCAACATTATATATAGTAGTTTAATGTAGTACTTACACTAAAACTCTGAAAACTTGAATTTTTTTCTCACACATTAATCTTTATTTTTGGGGGGACTATCCACGATACATATTGTCACTATTGTTGCTGTTTTGTATTGCGATATATTGTGGGACGATATATTGTTACACCCCTAGTTGTAACTATAGCAACAGATTTATGAAATAGTGAGTTGGTTACCGTGTGGGAACAGGAACCTCGGTGAGACCTCCTAACATGACGGACTGCTGAAGACGCACAAACGCCACGAAGGGGGAGTCCAGAAAATCCACCTCCCCGACCAGCACGTTCGACGCCTCCGCATCTCGTGGAATTTTCTTCATGAACTTATTATTTAACTAGCGAGAAGCAAAAAGAAAAACATAATTTGAATTACATTCAGTGTGTGCACTGTTTTAATTTGTTGGTTTGTGGGCTTTTTACACTTGAACTGGGTCATTCTAAACCCTGGGTTATCTCGCTTGCTGATAGCCAGCATTGTCTCAAAACCGCTGTGATGAATCCGATCTTCAAGCAGATGCAACTGGATGAAATATTTTGAATGATACCAATCCACAATTATTATTATTTATACCAATTCTCTTATTATTCAAAAATATTACTGATCTGAATGCCCTGACATTGTTGTATGAGAACTGAGCTGGATGATGACATCATGGTTTCTGCAGAACTGCTTCATAGAGAATTTAATAATTGATGAACTTTACAACAGAACTGAATCAACATTGAACTGACTTCAGCTGAACTGAACAATGACACTATTTTCTTTTTAGAGCTGCAAAGTGAACTCTGTTTGCATCATTGTACAAATATAGTAAATAATTAATAAATGTATCTCTATACACCTTATATCCTTAGAACCATCTTCAGATTACATTATTTCTTTCTTTCACGCATTTGTCCAAAGAAGCAATAAGTCTATTTATGAGATCATGTTTCAAAGGAATATGAAACTCTGATAAGATTTAAGCCGAGTGGAAAGAAACAAGCTCACACAACTACATTAAAAAAAAGCAAAGCACTTCATTAGCGATGAACACCGAGATGACAGAGAGCCTGGAACACACACACAAACTCACTGACACTATAACACAAAAGAGGCCTTGTGCAATGTTAGCGGTCTAGGTGATTTTAATCTGAGGTTATCAGTATAATTACTGAGGTAGTGTCAATAACACACAACAAGAGTTCTGTGCATTTGACAAAAGCACTCACGCTAATCCACAAATATTGACGCAACTGACGACAGAAGCTATGTTTTGTCCTTGTGTGAAAGACAGCCACTGAGTTTCATTGTGCGCTACAGTGTGTTTGAATAAAGAGTTTCTTTTGTCCTTTTGCACTCATTCCTATCCTAGCGATGTCACGCCCAGGGCTGTAGCCTTCCTAACCAAACTCCCCACAGGAGAAACATTTATCCATAGTCATTTACCCTCCCTGTAATGAACTGAAACCGTGGGAGAATCTCACAATTCCTGTTAAGAACACACCTGGATCAGACTTCAAGATTAAATACCACAACATTTTTAAAGAAAATGAAGCCTGTTTTCAAACCATTAAGACAATATTTTTTTGTGATGAACTCTCATTAATGTAATGAAAAAACAACAACAACAACAAAACTCAGTACTAAAATTAGTATTATTATTTTAAATATTATTATATTATATTTAAATAATAATAATTGTTATCATTATTTAATATTATAAAAATGCATATATATATATATATATAAAATTTCTCTTTTTACTTATCAATTTAATCTTTAAAAATTGTATTATATTATAAATATTATATATATATATATATAATTTATCATTTTACATTTCAATTTAAATATGATTATATGTACTGTTGTCATCATTTTAAATTTTAAATTAAATGATTTAAATGTACATTATTATATTATTAAATTGTCCAGCATTTATATATCCTGGTAGTATTTGATGATTTGATGGAAAAAAATAAAAATAAAAAAAGATAACCTACTGACCCAAAACATAATTTCTTATTTTTTCTTTTGATTTTGGGGGTAAAATACATTTTCATGAGATTTACGCTGGTACTCTAACACACTTTACCATCATGTCTGTGATTAGACCCAATATCATATTTGATATTTTTTCGCAGAATTAATCTCTGCTTCTAAATGTGAAGAATCCACTCACACACACACACACACACTCGTCACAGTACCTGGTCTTTCTCAGGCTTGTCTGAGAGATCGTTGAGACTGTTGGAGGTCAGGTTACGATGGGCTGTGGTTGGACTACCTGCAGAAGTCGTACAAGGTCAGAGGTCAAACACCTGTCAGCAGCTAAAACGCTAAACACATTGCGGAAAAAATACAGAAAAAGTCTTAGAAACAAAGAGGCTCGAGAATTTCAAATATGAGTTATTTTGTATATCTACATCTCAATAGATTCCTTAAAGGAGTAGTTCACTTTAAAAAAAAAAAAAAAAACTTTTGCTGATAATTCACTCCCCCCCCATGTCATCCAAGATGTCCATGTCATTCTTTCATCAGTCGTAAAGAAATTAAGGTTTTTGATGAAAACATTTCAGCATTTTTCTTCATATAATTCACTTCAGTAGGAACCAAACATTCGTGACTCTCCTGTTTGAGCTCATTCGAACAAATCTTTTTTCGAGTCATTTGGTTCATTCAACGAACGAAATGAACAAATTGATTTGGAAAAAGATTAATGTAGTTCAATTTGATGAACGAGTTTGAACAGGAGAGTCATGAACGTGCATCACAGAACAGAGCAAGGCAAGCATTTGAGCTTAGAAAACTTAAACTGTGTTATTTATTTATTAAATGAGTGATCGTTTCGGTTGATAAGACCCTTATTCATCGTCTGGAAACGTTTAAAGCCCTTTAAACAGTTTGCACTGAAACTGTCTTTTGGACCTTGAACCGTTTGGTTCCCATTGAAGTCCATTATATGGAGAAAAATCCTGTAATGTTTTGATCAGAAACCTTCATTTCTTTTCGACTGAAGAAAGAATAACATGGACATTTTGGATGACATGGGGGTGAGTAAATTATCAGCAAAAGTCTTTTTTAAAGTGATCTACTCCTCTACTAACTTGTTGGAAGGGTTACTGAAAACGAAAACACATCAGTTATCTTTTAATTTTTTAATTAAGAGGTTTATTAAGAGATTAGACTAAATTTGTGATGATGATGATGATAATAATAAAGAGTCATCATACTATTTTTTAAATGTATACAGCGTTGACTTCATGGCATCTTTTACTTTTTCAAAGCGTATAAAGGATTTACTCTAGTCATTATCTGCAAGTCTCCAAGACCTGATCTTCAGGAAAACTAACCGCAAATCTAGCATTAATCAGTCTGAATCTTCAGCTAGACTTACAGAGAAGTCCCATGCTGTTGCTTCTCTGCATCTGAATTTGCTCGTCAGGTTCAAAGTTGATAAAGCAAGGCACAGGGTGATCAAGAGGACGCGCTTTACACACAGAGAGAGAAAGAGAAAAGACAGGGTGCATGCATGTCAATCAAGACAAGAGACAGGGAACAGAGAACACAAAGCATTAGAGCAGAGAAATCAATCAAAATATGTTTCAAAGCACTGATTCAGAAATTGAAAATTAAAATGAAAGTAGACAAGATTCATGAAAACCAAATCAGCACCTCAAAGTTTGAAAGAAAGAAATACGACTTTCTGAGAGAGTTAGAGAAGCTGTGAAACTGCGGCTGCTTTAGAATCTAAGCTATACATATTTATAAATAATATATTTATACATTATATGTATATATAGTAAGAAATAAGAAAATGAATGAATGCCAATTAACCTTTTTTTGAGAGTGGTTTATTTATATGAACACTCTGAAACAAATGATTCCCTAAAATAAAAAGGTGTGTGCATGAGAAAGTGTTTGATGATTGTTTCAGCTCGCCCAACTGTAAACTTGTGAAGTACAACATGTCCAGTACATTAAATTATATAGCATTGCACCACTACTTGGAAGAAACACCTTGCTTCTGGAATAGTTACAATATTATGAAAACATCTGATCTACTGTCACTCTACCGAAGAATTTAGTCAACATGTCTTGAAATTTAGACAACACTTCTAGTTCTTTAAACATTCAATTCAAGATAAAAGCTTTTACTTTCATAGTGAGAAAATGCATTTTAATTGGATATAAGGTATAACATATAAGGTACACTATATGATTCTGTTTCCTGTTCTCTTTTTTCCAGCAGACTTTTTTTCAACAGGTGATTCTCCGGAGGTTGGAGATTTAGCTGCTCCATGTCAAACTTTCTCTCACTCGTTTGGAAACTAACCTCTGCCACTATCATGTGATGGGGACGAGACTACCTATGCCGAGTCCGAGTCAAGACAGAGTCTTTGAAGGGTCGAGTCCGAGTCAAGACCGAGTCTTTGAAGGGTTGAGTCCGAGTAAAGACCAAGTCTTTGAAGGGTCGAGTCTGAGTCAAGACCGAGTCTTTGAAGGGTCGAGTCCGAGTCGAGACCGAGTCTTTGAAGGGTCGAGTCCGAGTCAAGACCGAGTCTTTGAAGGGTCGAGTCCGAGTCAAGACCGAGTCTTTGAAGGGTCGAGTCCGAGTCAAGACCGAGTCTTTGAAGGGTCGAGTCCGAGTCGAGACCGAGTCTTTGAAGGGTCGAGTCCGAGTCGAGACCGAGTCTTTGAAGGGTCGAGTCCGAGTCAAGACCGAGTCTTTGAAGGGTTGAGTCTGAGTCAAGACCGAGTCTTTGAAGGGTCGAGTCCGAGTAAAGACCGAGTCTTTGAAGGGTCGAGTCCGAGTAAAGACCGAGTCTTTGAAGGGTCGAGTCCGAGTCAAGACCGAGTCTTTGAAGGGTCGAGTCCGAGTCAAGACCGAGTCTTTGAAGGGTCGAGTCTGAGTCAAGACCGAGTCTTTGAAGGGTCGAGTCCGAGTCAAGACCGAGTCTTTGAAGGGTCGAGTCCGAGTCAAGACCGAGTCTTTGAAGGGTTGAGTCTGAGTCAAGACCGAGTCTTTGAAGGGTCGAGTCCAAGTGAAGACCGAGTCTTTGAAGGGTCGAGTCCGAGTAAAGACCGAGTGTTTGAAGGGTTGAGTCCGAGTCAAGACCGAGTCTTTGAAGGGTCGAGTCCGAGTCAAGACCGAGTCTTTGAAGGGTTGAGTCCGAGTCGAGACCGAGTCTTTGAGGAAGCAAGTCCGAGTCGAGATTTTGTCCCGACATATCAGTTTTGATACTTGATAAGTTTTGATATATATATCACCCAGTTAATAATCAACAGTTAAGCCTACAGACTAAGCTAGATTGGGAATTGTTTAGAGTGATGGGGACGAGACCGCCTATGCCGAGGCCAAGTCTTTGAAGGAACAAGTCCGAGACAAGTCCGAGAAAGCAGAAATCGGTTTTGAGACCGGTCTCGACTACTACATCACTAACGTAGTTAAGCAAAAGGCTAATCATATGAGTTAAGGCCGTTGCACACTGAGTTCGAAATTTTTGTATGCGTCTTTTTGAGTTCGTGATCCGGTGGCTCTGAATTGTCAAAACACCATTCAAACTGCTTGATACAGTTGCGAAAAATGCAGAAAATTTAACCCGATTCGATTTTTTTTTAATGATAGACGAAAGTTTCGGATGCAGTGTGCAAAGCGTGATTGACATAACGTGTCATTTATTTTTTAGCGTGCGAAAATTTCGGATGCGAAATTCGGACTGCAAGGGCCTTTACCGTTAAGTGTCTGACGATGTAGAGAGCGATAAATAAAAAGCATTACCATTCTGATACTTCGACTTGTAGACAATCCTGTATAACTCACTTTTCTTCTTATATGGCTGAATTTAACCAGTATTTCCACTTTCCATTGTGCAGCATTTACTGCAGTGAAGTTGAGCGAGTGAATCAGGAATTCTGAGCTGCTGTGAGTGAGTGGAGGCGGGGTTCATTTACATAATCATGGTTCCGTGCATACTTAATGAGGCAAGGGTGTAGAGTTACATTCAAGCTAATGTGAGGAAAAACATTTTTACATAAAACATTTAAATGTGAAATTTTGGTGATCAAAGGTGCGCTTTAAGGGATAAAATTATTGAATATTGTAGTTCATTTTGACCTTTAAGTTAATTTAGTTAAACCAGTTACTCCCCAAAACTCAGAGAAACTTAATTACATTTATATTAAATGAGATTAGAAAAAATACTAAAGTTTTTCAGCAGCAAATTTCAGAAATCAAAAAAACATGTTTTGATTTGTTTCTAGTGGTTTCTAGTTCTTCCTGGTGCGAAAATCGAAAAGTCAACTGCATCTCATCAGCACATTTGATTACTTGCGTTTTTGAAACATCAAAGGATTTTCAGTTCTGCACTGTGCAACAAACATCTGTACAGCTATGAATGCAACATTTGTAAAATGTGTGAGAGACGTGCGGATGGATTGATCAGATGCTGACGATGAAAGTGAGAGGGGAGATGTTGAAACCGATAGACTGTAAGCGAGAGGCGGCTGTGTTACCGTTCTCCTGGTTGGTGAACAGACGACTCGCGCTCGACACGCTTTTTCCAATGTCTGCCAGCGAACGCAGGTTGGACTTCTTGGTCTGGTGGCGATGTTTCCGTAGCAAAGTGTACATGACCATCTCCTTCAGGTCGGCCTTCAGCTGCCCGTTCTCGATCTGACTGTCAGTGATCATTTCTGAAAGACATAGGCAGATTTTCAAAAAGCATATACTAGTGCTTTAAAGAACCCAGAAACCAAAACACTAATCTGAAGGACTTTTGTAACCTCTTAAGAACCATAGAACAATTCCAGATCCTTATACAGCCGAAATTAAAATTGTGAAAAGTGCAGTTTTACCAACGATCTGCTGAAGTGAGTTTGCCTCCATGTCCAGCATGATGGTTCCTTTCTCGATGCAGTTTTTCAGCTGGAAGAGCGAGTGAAGAGACAGAGTGGCCACATGGGGTTTACTCCACCGTTCCCCACCCTTCTCCACCTTCTCCTCAAACTTTATCCATCTGAGAAAAACAGAAAACACACTGAAATGTTTAGATAACAGCTGAATCTTAGGCATTGAAACTTGAAAAAAAAAAAAATTTAGAGTAGAGTGACACTATTCCAGTACTTATTAAAATACCATGATTTATCACAATACCATGTTTTTTTCAGGATGACATTCACCTATTTACCAACATAATACCATATATTTTTGGTCATGCTGCATTAATCACACAAGTGTTTTACCATTGTACATGTAAATCTAAGTCATGTGTGTGTGTGTACATGTTTTCCTATACCAGTGGCGACTTCTGATTCAAAGGAATTTTTTTTGTTAGATTTCTTTGTTTTTTAAATTAACAATTTTATTTGTCGAGGATGTATTTTAACTGATCAAAAGTGACAGTAAATAAATACATAAATAATGTTACAAAAGACTTCTATTTCAAATAAACGCTGTTCTGTTGAACTTTCTATTTCGTGTAATTTGTATTCATCAAGAAACTATTTTCAACATTAATAATAATCAGAAATGTTTCTCGAGCATCAAATCAGTATAATTAGAATAATTTCAATTTATTGACAGTAAAGACTGGAGGAATGATGCTGAAAAATCAGATTTGAATCACAGGAATAAATTACATTTTAAAATATATTCAAAAAAGTTATTTAAAATCGTAAAAATATTTCACAATATTAATGTTTTTACTGTATGTTTGATCTTTTATTGCCTTGGAGAGCAGAAGCGACTTATGCTCTTCGAGACCGGTATATTAATATGGCAATATCATGCTTTTACCATCACTCTTTGCAAGGACATATTATTATTTATATACTTACTGTAGGAACACGATTTATATTTTTGTTGGTTTAAGCTTAGACCATTTGGCAAACAGAAACACAGAGATAGATAGATTGATAAATGTGTAACTTTAGCTTTCTGCTGACTAACTGAAAGCTATTTGATGTAAAATAAGAATCAAAATGATTCAAAGCTTCTTAAAGCTCTTCTGGCCCTGTTATCAGCTTACCCATGCGAATATCTGTCTTAGAGAAATGATACCCAAGCACACACACAGGTATCCTTTAGAGCCCTGTAATCTTGTGCAGAGAGGCTGGTGAGCTGAGTTTAGCCAAGCGTGGGTATGATATCCGAGACAAAAATGATACTCACACACACACACACACACACACACACTGCGGCATGGTGTTTTGATATGTTACCTGAGACACAGGTAAACCCAGAAACCCATGAGAACCCTGTGAACTCTGTCCTGGGTTTGTGCACCCATCTATCCGCTCGTCCGTCCATCCATCCACCCACACATACACACACACACACGTGTGCACACACATAAAAACAATGGGCTCTTTGTTAGCAAATGGTTTCCTTTCAAAATGAGCCATGTAGATCTTAACATGTAAATCTGGACCATGCAAATTCAAAGAAAGAGACCATTCAATGAAAGGAGTACCATTTGTGTCCGTAACATTTGATGGCGTGAACTAAACACAAAATAACTGCTATGGACTGCTATGTGAGATATATCAATTCAGAATTAATTATAAACATACTCTATTAAAATATGTGTTGTATTTGCATTTTAATTTGTTGTATTTGCATTTCCATATAACCCAAATAAATAAATAAATTCTAAAACTTTGCCATGAGAAACTTTGCACTGGTTTTCCCTTGAAAAAACTTTTGTTGATAATTTACTCACCCCCATGTCATCCAAGATGTCCATGTCATTTTTTCTTCAGTCGAAAAGAAATGAAGGTTTTTGATGAAAACATTCCAGGATTTTTCTCCATATAATGGACTTCAATGGGAACCAAACGGTTCAAGGTCCAAAAGACAGTTTCAGTACAAACTGTTCAAAGGGCTTTAAACGATTCCAGACAATGAATAAGGGTCTTATCAAGTGAAACGATCGCTCATTTAATTAATAAATAACAAAGTTTAAGTTTTATAAGCTCAAATGCTCGCCTTGCTCTGTTCTGTGATGCGCGTTTGTGACTCTCCTGTTTGAACTCGCTCATCAAAATGAACAAATCTTTTTCAGAGTCAATTGGTTCATTCAACGAACGAAACGAACGAATTGACTCGGAAAAAGATTCATTCATTTTGATGAACGAGTTCGAACAGGAGAGTCACAAACGCGCATCACAGAACAGAGCAAGGCGAGATTCAGAGAAGCAAATTTCAAAAGCTTGTTCAACTGACATTTAAAATCCGCAAGTTTTTTTCATGTTCAAGTATAACATATCCAAACCAAGTTCCACCTTATCATTTAAAAACACCCATTTCAAAGAATGACTCAAAAACATGATTTAACTGTGTGTGTGTGTGTGTGTGTGTGTACAAAATATAGAGTATTTTAAAACTTGGTATTACCAAAACTATGGTATTGATGCATATACACACAAGCACATAACATTACTAAAATTAAAATGACATACTACGTATAATAGTATAAAAATAATCCTAAAATAACAATGATGTTAACGGTTAACCAGTATAAAATGGCAGCATTAACTGTCATTACCTAAAAAATCCACCTAAACCAATGATTAAATAGCTATTCGGTTATTGGTTAACATATTTTCCCTTCCCTGCGCGGTCTAGGTGACATCAGATGATCATCCGTTTCAAGCAAAGTGTTACAATATGAAACATGTTTTCCTTTGGACTAACATGCTCTGATGAATCAGGCACAAAAAGTTCAGAAAACATGTTTTAAGAAAGTAAAAAGTGTAAATTTAGAATTCACACTGATGAACTAATGACCTTTTCACCAAAATGCCTGTAAATCCAGCAGCTCTGTGTCAACCTCGACTTCACATATGAAATCAGTGCTGTGCTCCTGATACATAAATCCTATTTCAGAACACACTGCGTATCGTGTGAGAGTGAGAGTGTGTGTGACAGTGATTGTTTGTCAGTTGATATGGTCGTGGCAGGGAAAGACCTGGAGATCATCCGTCACTCAATACACACAGGAAATCAAAACTACCTGAACCAGAAGAAAGCTGTATTGTTAGTGTAACTGAGCCAAAATAGTAAAAATGTTGTCATTATTTACTCTCTCTCACAGTGTTTCAATGTGAAAAACAAAACAGTCTGGAATGATGGCGAGTAAATGAGGGCAAATAGATTTTTGGGTAACAAAAGAATGTCTTAAGTCCAGATTTGTTTCTCAGATCACTTTTGTTCTCGTGTAATTTGTTACTGTTTTCTGCTACACCCTCATTCTGGAATCAGAACGCTTAACATACGTGAGCGGCGAACACAGACAGGAATGTGTAAAATCCTAAGATCAGTCAAGTGGCACTAAAATCGTGAGCATTGGTAAATGATGTGAGTGTTGAATATTTCTGTTGTTTTAGCAGAGACAAGCGAGAGGTCTCCCTCTTTCAAGCGTGTGTTTCTGACCTACATCTCCGTCTGAGGACAAAACAGCTGGAAATCAAATCTGCTGAAGTTAACGAAATTAGAAAATTATGCAAAATAGTTAATAAACACAATGATGGGATTCCTGTGGCTCAAACTGTAAAAAAAAACTGTCTACCAAATGCATCAATGTAAATGTAAAAATGAGCCAATCAAAACCAGTGATTTGTCGATTAGCCAATGAAATTCAAGAACTAAACACCTTACGAATATAAAATTAATTGGGAATAGTATATTCTTAACATTTCTGCAATATAACGTTATGTCAGAAACCGAAAGAGTAGATTGATAACATGCTATTTTGAATTAAGACAAGCCCTGCGTCCCAATTTATATCCTGTTTGTCCGAAATAATGTTCGCTATTGGTATTTTTACATACTAGTTAGGGTGGATAGTGTGCTAATCGGGGGTCAGGCTATAAAATATTATATAATATAGCACACTATTCTATTTCTCCAATATAAAAATATGGCAGAAACAATAAGAGTGCTGTTTTGAAATAAAACAAATATTACATTGAAATTTGCATACAATTCGGCCTAAATATTATTCAAAATTGATATTCTTAAATACTATTTAAGATGGATATTGTGCAAAGTGGGATTCAGGGATAACAGACAAGAAAAAAAATTATAAAATTCAACTATTAGCAGACAAATCGTACCATTTTTGCAATTTAAAGATACGGCAGAAACAGTATTAAAGCGGTAGTAATCGGACGAAATTCTGTTCAATATAGTTACACTAGTTACATTTTTATTTTTTTTTATATTCTAGGATATATTAACTTTGCTCCCGTCGAATATATTTAGTGTTGGAATATATTTACTGTATATTTTTACTTGAGGTACATTTATATTTTTATATTTTTATCTTTATTTATTTCTATTCTTATATTTTTATTTAGAAAGCTGTGTTTATAATTGCTGTGTCATAGAAGTGCTGTTTATGGAATTGTGTTTGTGTATAAAATTGCTGTGTTATTTTTTGCTTAAGGCCGAGAGTCTCATACAAAATTTCGTTATGCGCGAGCATAATGACAATAAAGATTCATTCATTCATTCATTCATACACCATATCGGTATAGTTAATGAATCCTCAAGGCCTAGCAGCAACCTATGATTTCTTAAATGAAATGTACAGTAGAGGTTTATTTTCAGTAATATCACAACCCAGTAGAGTGACACGGACAACTTCAACATTGATTGACAATATTTTTACAAATAATATTAATAAAAACTCTTTATAGTGGTTTGCTATTCTGTGATATCAGTGATCACTTACCAGTTTTCATTGTCTGTGGCCTAAAAACTGCCAAAAATATAAGCGGTGTTGATAAAATCAAACACATTAGAATTCGGACGGAGAAGGAAATAGACTCATTTAGGAAAGATCTGATTAACCAAGATTGGAGTAAAGTTTTTGTTGACGATGTTAACTGTGCTTATGAGGTCTTTCTGAATATTTTTGTAACCCTTTATAATAAAAATTGTCCCTTAAAAATGAGCAAAGTGAATAAATTCGATAAAAAACCATGGATAACTAGTGGGTTACAGAAGGCCTGTAAAAAGAAAAATAAACTATATCGAGATTTTATTAAATACAAGTCGAGTAATTATGAAATTAGATACAAAAGATATAAAAATAAGTTAACAACTATAATGCGACAGGCCAAAAAAAGATTATTATAAAAACAGATTAAATGAATATAAGAATAACATTAATGAAACCTGGAAAATCTTAAATAAGGTTATGAAGCCAAATTTGCAGAGTACAAATCTACCTGAGTATTTTGAACATAAAGGCAAAGTTATTAATAGTGGAAGAGATATTGCAAATGAGTTTAATTCTTTCTTTGTCAATGTCGGACCTAATATTGCGAAAAAACTTGAAAACTCCGATTATGAAGCAGGGTATAGGGTGACAGGAGGTAGCAGAATTTTGCAGTCAATGTTTCTTAATGATTGCACCGAAACTGAAATTTTAGAGATTGTGAGAAAGTGTAAAACTAAAAAAATTCTTGTGACGGTGAGGGAATAGATATGAGAATTGTTAAAAAAACTATAGATTGCATACTTCAACCTCTAACTTATATTTTCAATCTTTCTTTTAGTTCAGGTGTTTTTCCGCAAAAGATGAAGATTGCCAAGATAACACCTATTTTCAAAAAAGGAGACAAACATGACTTTAATAATTATCGACCTGTATCAGTACTCTCACAGTTTTCTAAAATAATTGAAAAATGGTTTACTTATAAATTAGATCTATTCTTGGAAAAAAACAATTTACTTTTTGATTATCAATATGGATTCCGATCGAATAGATCGACAACCCTTGCATTAATTCATTTAACGGATGAAATTCTTGCCACAATAGAAAAAAAACAGTATCTTGTAAGTATATTCCTGGACTTACAGAAAGCATTTGATACTGTTAACCATAAATTATTGTTGACAAAATTACAATACTACGGACTAAGGGGTCAGATATATAAATGGCTTGAAAGTTATTTAAGTAACAGAAGCCAATATGTTCAATTTAAAAACCATAACTCAGATTGTAGAACTGTTGTATGCGGAATTCCCCAGGGTTCTGTAATTGGCCCTAAACTTTTTATTTTATTTATTAATGATATTTTTGAAGCTTCTAAAGAGATGAATTTTTTGTTATTTGCTGATGACACAACGGTATTCAAGTCCGGGACAGATATTAATGAATTAATGACCACTACTGAAAGGGAAATGTCAAAATTAAAGAAATGGTTTGATTGTAACAAACTGTCTTTAAACTGGGATAAGACAAATTATATGGTTTTTGGAAATACGGGAAAAAAAGAAGGTACAAAATTAAATATTGAGAAAGTAAACATCGAATGTGTTTCAGAAATAAAATTTTTGGGGGTTGTCCTAGACAGTAAACTTAGCTGGAAGCCTCATATAGAATATATCAAAGGTAAAATTAGTAAGAATATTGGTATTCTATATAATGTTAAACATATATTAGATGAAGCTTCATTACAGCTTCTATATTTAACCTTAGTTGTTCCATATTTAACATATTGTACTGAAGTGTGGGGTAATGCATACAACAGTTATACAGACAAGTTGTTTGTACTCCAGAAGAAAGCCATAAGAATTGTGGCTAACCAAGGTGCACGAGACCACACAAATAAAGTGTTTATAAAACTGCAGACTTTGAAATTTAAAGAGTTGGTCAGTTTCAAAATACTAAAAATTATGTGGAGAGTGAAAAATAATTTAGTACCAACACATATTAAAAATAAATTCATGTTAATCACAGACAATAACAACAGAAGAAAAGGCAATTTTAGTGTGCCATATTCACGTACCTCAAAAAACAAAAGGGGTTCCTTGTAACTGGGATTAGTTTATGGAACTCTTTGGATAGAGGTCAAAAATCATGTAACTCGATTGTTCAATTCAATAAAATGTACAAAAAATATGTACTTGAAAAATACAAAGGAAATGAAGCATAAGAAATAAGGTTTTATTTTTTTTTATTTTTTGTGTGTTTTTTTTTTTTTTTTTTTTTTGTTGTTGTTTTTTGTTTTTTTTTCTAAATTGGTAATTGTTAATTGCTGGGATGTGAAATAATACTGAAGAAATATGTATGTGTATGTATATGTATGTATATATATATGTGTGTATGTATATGTATGTATATATGTGTATGTATATATGTGTGTATGTGTATATATATGTATATATGTAGATATGTATATGTATATATATATATATATATATAGAAAGGAAGGGGAACGAAAAGGAAAGACGAAAAAAAAAAAAAAAAAAAAAAAAAAAAAAAAAAAAATGGCGAGCCATCTGTTTTGTATAAGCTTAGATAATTGAAAAAAGGGGCATTAATTTATAAGACTATGTCTTCTTTATGCTCCTATTCAGTAATGAATGTTATTATTTTGTTGTAGTGGAGATTATGTTGTGTCTATAATAACATCATGACTGAATAAAGAAATTTGATTTGATTTTGATTTGATTTGATTTAGTTCGATATAGTGTGCTTGACTATTCTGGGATAACTGTCATTTCATAACTGAAGAAGAAGACAGTTTACATTAACCACTATAGCGCCCCTTGTGGTCATACGGAGAATATAATGTAACATGGATTGTGATGCATTTTTCTGTTGAAAACATTTGTTGAGTGTTTGGTACACTTTACCTGGCTGTTTCCTTCCACTCCATCTCTTGACCGTCGACGGAAAGAAGCTCGTCGAGTTCGGTGAAGAGCTGTGGTGGAGGTGGGCCGCTGTCATCTTCCCCCAAAATAAAGCGGATCCGCTCTGCTGCCGGAGAAACTGATGAGGAAACAACAAGCGAGGTGTGACAGATGCCAGCTTATAACATAAAGACTGCAAGCCAATACAATCAAAATACAAGACAAAAGTGCTCTGTCTGCTTAAGGTGAGACTGTAACAGCAATCACTGGTTGGTTCCTGCATAGGTGTTACGTAACATCAAGATCAATGAGCTTTTTTGTAAATTTAAGTGTTACACCCAAAAAGCAGTCAGTACGTGAGACTTTATTTCCTGGAGAAACAGAAATAGATAGTGTTGCGAAAGCAGACTGAGCCAAAACTGGCCCCTCTTTGAGATTTCAATCTCAGTTGCACAGGGAAGTTGCCTTAAGATGCAAAGCACAAAATGCATGCATGAGGATACCTATGTCAGCATTTCTCATAACCACACTGTTGTAGCTGTAATGTGAAAGTTGCACCATACCTTTTCTAAACGTGTACACATTTAAATTACAAAGACTCAATTCTCTGCACAGACAAGGCCTTTTTTTAAAAAAAAACTATACAAAACAAACAGTTTAAGATGAGACGTTTTTCCGACACTAATGAGATCTGGCCTACCCTACTAGTTAGGGAAGTCCGCATATGGGGAAATCTGTTGTTTGCAATGCAACAGGACTGGTTATTTTGATTCAATGTCTGCAATGGGACATACCAAGCGTATTTACATGTGTATCAATGCATGTCGTGCATGTGCACCGATGTACATGCTTCTTTTAAGTCTAGCCTCAGGTCAAGGTAAAGACAGGTAGGGACAGGATGGTCTCTTTCATAATACAACATCAACCTGTAATACAACAATACCAATAATACAACTCCTTATGCTAAAAACTAATTCATATATATGTTAAGTTTCTAATTTTTTTAAGAAATTATTATTTTATTCAGCAAGGAAGGATCGATCAAAAGTGACACTAAAGACATTTCTAATTTTCTTTTTCAAATAAGTTCTCCAGACACCCTAAAAAAAATCACATTTTCCACAAAAATATTTTTAAAAGCGAAACACTTTTTTTTTTTACTTTGATAAAAAGATGAAATGTTACTTGAGCAGCAAATCAGCATTTTTAGAATCTTGTTCTGAAGGATTGTTCAACACTGAAGACTGGATAATGACGCTTACATTTACATTTAGTCATTTAGCAGACGCTTTTATCCAAAAGCGACTTACAACTGAGGACTAACAATAATAGTATGTTGTAAAACAGATGAGCTTTGTATCACAGGAAATTACACTTTAAAATCTATCCAAACAGAAAAGTACTTTAAATTCTAAAAATATTTCATAATATTACTGATTTAACTGCAGCTTTGCAAATAAATGCAGCTTTGGTGAGCATAAGAGACTTGAAAAACAATGAAACACTAAACGTTAGTTTAGAAGGAGAGAGAGAATGTTAATGTTAAAACTCTCAGTCTCTCTCTCTCTCACACACACAAACACACAAAACTAAATACATTTCAAATCATGTCATGCATGACTAAGTTAGCTATAGCTATAGTTAGCTTTGAGTTTCTAATTTTGCTTCGCAGTAAATTGATGAGTATGGCCGTCTGCCGATAGTCAATAAAGTTTTAAATATGGATATTTTTCTTACACGAACGCATCGCTTCACCTCAGGAGGCCTTTATTAAACCTTTATTGTGGAGGACTTTTATTATGAAGCACATGTATCATGGATAGATGCATTTTAATGGCCTTCAAAACATAAACGGACATTCACTGCCATTATAAAGCTTGGAGCCAGGACATTTTAAATATAACTCCGGTTGTATTAGTCCGAAATACGGCTTCAGGGTAAACTCATTTTTGAGTGAACTATCCCTTTAAACATATCAAAGGCTTTTTAGCACTGCCTTTCTTTCTCTGTTTATTTTAGCACATTTGGAGCATGCTAAGCTAATCTAAGCTAAATTAGTCAAAGCTGGAGGATTATTTTCCTCCCTCAGTGGCCTGAAACAGCCCCTCCGGAATAAATAAGGCCATGGTGTACATAACACAGAGAGAGGAAGAACATCCCTTTGGCCATGCCTGGCTCCATGGCTCTTAACCTGAGCTAAAAGTTAACACCTCTTACCAGAAGTGGCTAGAATTACCAATTATACACTAGCATATACTCAACACTGAAACTAGCGGTATTGTTGAAATCAGCTGACCACTAATGCTAAATCCAGCCACAGATCCAGGCCATGAGAAGCCGTACAAACTATTTGTGCGAGAAATGTGTTTGTTAGTTTAACCCAGTGACTTACTGTAAGTAATGACTGTGTGAAACGTGTGATTTCTGCACTCTCACACGATCTACAGTCGAAGGAGCGATGGAGAGGTAGAGCTGGGTTCACAGAGGATAAGCGCAGATAAAGGTGACTATGCACTTGTTTAGCTTGATGCTTTGCCTTTTCAGCCATGCCAATGATTAGGAGAGATTAGCACACACAAAGACCTTTAACTGAGGCTGTAAGGACCGCTTTATCTCGTTCTCTCTCTCCATCGCACTCGGACTCTCCAGAACATCAAGGATTGCTCTGGGATAATCTGTAAAATAGTTTTTCTTCTACAAGAATGACTTGTAGAAATGTGTATTGGTTTAGTGAAACACAAAGGAGATGTCCAAGCTGCTCTTTTCCTTGCAATAAAGATGGCGACTATACTGCCAAAAATCCCCAAAAAGTACTATGAAAATATATTAAAAGTAGTCAATAAAGGCCCGTTCACACCAAGCATGATAACTATAAAGATAACGATAAAGATAACTATATATGCATCCATATATAACTATGTATGTGATGTGAACTTTTTTAGAATTATATCTTTATCATTATCTTTATAGTTATCGTGCTTGGTGTGAACGGGCCTTAAGACTTCCAAAGTAAAATAGCACTGTGTCAGGAATACCAAATTTATGTCATTGTATATTAGTCATGTGACATGTGCATGTGACATTTCTGCCTAACTTTCACTGGTGAAACAAATGAAATCCACACTTTAAAAAAAAAACCTTCCTACAAACCAAAAACCAGCAACAAGGTTTCTTTAGGGCGAGTAATCTCACTCAGCGCCTGCCTTTCAAACACCCCTCGGGCAGCTATTTCAGTCATTCAAGTACAGCTGCTATCTCTTAGAATGAGCAAATATCGAATTCTCCAAAGCTGTTCATCAAGCTTATGAAAAAATGTCATATTTGAAATCTCCGTCTCATAAATTATGTTTCTAAATGCTCAAATCATAACAAAAAAACATCATTTTTACAGACATAAGTGTAATTTTAGAATGGCTGCGTCTGAAATCGCATACTCTCTTAACTAGGTACTTATTTTGAAAACGTAATCACTAAATAGTATGTTCTATATAGTATGAATGTGTGTTGTATGAATGAATGTAATCTGGACGTACTACATCTGCCATGTTGTCACTGTCATGTGACCTACCAGCGTCAGTTGCGTCGCTTCACCTCCATACATTTTTTTTTTTCAAAGGATGTTTCGATACGCCACTAAGTAGGTGGATTACCAATCGAAGGATCCCTGAGTTACCATGCTCAAGCCTGGACGCAGGCCTCATCCATCCTAGGCTATTCGGGTAACTCGCTTCACCTCCATTCATAAATCCTCTCCCGTGGCCTCATGGGACAAAAAGTGCTTATCGCTTTTTATCGCAAGCAGTTTTTGCCTACTTATGAGTACTGTGAATTCAGACATACTTCTTTTGTCACACACTGTTTTTGGCCAACTATATAGAAGGGAAGTGTGCGATTTCAGAAGCAGCCGCAGTTTCTAAAGCAACCAGAGCTTATAACAGCTGCAGTGATGCAATGACAACAGAATGCAGTTACGCATTGAAACCAACCTAACTAACTTTATCTGGACAATAACTTTATTCTACAGCTGCTCTAAAGCCAAAACAATCTCTGTGACTGTAATTTTCTATTATCACTGTAAAGCTGCTTTGAAACTATATATTGTTAAAGGAGCTGTATGTAAGATTGTGGCCAAAACTGGTACTGCAATCAATTTCAAATTCTTGTAGAGCGGTGTATCCCTTCCCCCCTGACTCGAGGTTGCCAGATAGGTTGCAGGATCCAAAAAAAAATGTATCTCACACATTTGTAGCTGCCGTTGTGGTAACTAGAGCGGAGCTGGCAACCCAGATGCTGCAACACTGATTAGTAGATTGGTGGAGGGTGGAGCATCAGACCAAAACACAACATGTCAACATCAGTTGAGGGCTGCAACTTCACTTTATAAATGACGGTATCCTGGCTGGACTACTGTTGTCAGTGATATAAGTATTTAAAGTAAACATGATTTCTTATGTCTAGTGACATATCAGGGCCATTTTATGATTATTTGAAATACATGTCTTATATACAGCTCCTTTAAGAGCACTATTTAAATGAAGGTGACTTAACATGACTTTAACAATTGCCAATTGGCTTATCCCGCCATATTGTGCATTGCACTTTCTCACATTCGTAGTAATATCAGTGCACCGTATTGATATAGTATATCTAAAGTCTAAGGCCGTGTCACTTACTGAGTGGTTTGAGGATGCTGGAGGAGGGATCATCTGCATTCTCTGTGTCTGATTTGTCGCTCACGTTTTCCGTCACACGTTCCCTCCTTTCTCTGTGATTGGATCGTCGTTTGTGTCGCCGGCGGCGACGGTAACTCTTAGGCACATTAACGCCAATGTAGACTGTGTGATGACCTACACACAGGCACAAGGCATGGTAAGATTACAGGATTACAAACAAACACACACATACACACTTCATCAGATGAGAGGTTATAAATTAAAGCCTAAAATAAATGCACTGATAACGAGATAAAGAATGATGACGTCATTGGAACAGCGTTTTTTTCTGTTTAATATGTTTAAGCCTGCTGCTGTCAATGATTATACTGTCAATTTGATGGAAGCCAAAAACTTTTGCAATATGGATTTCAACATGTTAATCAGAGTTGAGACTTTTTACAGTATTAAAGCAAAAAAGCTATACCGTATCAGACATTTATTTTCAATGAGAGTTGGTCTTTTCAAACTTTATGCAAACAATAACTTACACAATGTGTTGTCATCATTGTTATCATTAACTAAGTCTATGATAGTACAATTGTTTTTATTAATTGAGATAAAGCTGAAATAAAATATTAAATGGAATAATATATTAAATGAAAAACTTTAACTTTTAAACTCTTAAAAAGATTGCCTTGGAAAGTAACTGAAATAAATAAAATCTTAATAAATATAATTAATATTAAAAACGAATAAACTGAAACTATTAAAAATGACAAAAACACATACAATTACAAAGAAATGAATGAAATTAATATAAAAAATAAAAGCTAATTCAAAATATGAATAAATACTGTAAAAGTATATAAATAATAGTAAAACAACACTGATGTGTTGACAACCAATAGTATCACATTATAATTCACTTCCTGTGAGTGTTTGCACGAGTGAAACAGAAAACAGAAGAAGAAGAAAATCATTTCAGAGTTAAATTTATACAATATTTATTTTCTTTGGAAGACAATGTACTGATGAATCATTCACAATGAGACCAGGGATATGTGTACAGTATGAAGGTAAATCAATATCACTGTGTTTCTGTGTTGGCATGCATTTGTGTTTTGTTTTTTTTTTCTGAGGGAGAAACTGATTTGTATCTCACACTTGTTAGATTATAGATAAATGGCAACAACTTCCTGTACAGCTGATCAGGCAGGAAATGGTAAAACATCTTCAGGAAATGGATGTAAAAACAAAAAAACACACACGCCTAGATGAACACACACTCACTGAACAATATAAGAACTAATTGCTCATCAATTCAGTCATATATCAATCATGCTTCTGTCATCCATCATTCATTTCAGGTTCGACAAATAAACAAATATGTCCACCAGATGGTATCTGATAGAGTACTAGTGTGTGTGTTTGTGTGTGTGTGCGTGTGCGTGTCTGTAACCATCATTTGAAAGTCCAAAGTTCAGGGATGACGAGAGACAGAGAGAGAAAAACAAATATAGAAAGAGCATGAGTGTGTGAAATGCTCATGTTTGCGAATGTGTTTGATCTCCTTTTGATGTGAAGATATTTTTAGATGTCTTAACCTGTAATACTTTATACATTCCACAACTGAGAGGGGAATTGTGAACTGTGCCGAGTCAAACACGGACAAAACCGGAGCTGACAAATTTTTATATGGCCCACAGTGTCAGTATTCTACTCATTAAACACATTAAAATTATTGTATGATGAGCTATATTTGCACAGAAAGAGACATGACAATAATTTATTTTAATCCCAGAATTTAAAAAATTGGGTTTAATTTTTGAATTTTTTTATCAATAAAATATATAACTAATACTATAATATAATAAAATGTATAATATATATATATATATATATATATATATATATATGTGTGTGTGTGTGTGTGTGTGTGTGTGGATTAAGATAGTAAACATCTTCACGTGTAGAGCTTTGGCTTGTTACATCTGATTCACTCATAATCCTCTCCTGTCCTTAAACACAAATTGCAACCAATGCAACAATAAAAAAAAAAAAACAGCTGGCCCTCGACAGAGAGAGACTGAAGTGAGTGAAAGTGAGCGTGAAACTCAATCTACAGTACCTAAGAGTATTAGGGATCTGCAGTCGTCACTGAGACACAGGAGATTGTATATCCCACAATATATTTAAGTGCACTTGTGTGTGTGAGTGCGTGTGTGTGTGTGTGTGTGTGTGTGTGTTTCGTACCCTCAACCTCCTCGTCACACATGTTCTTGATGTAAGACGCTCCCCTGTCCACTATGGCTTCATCCTCCATTCTGTAAAAGAACAACCATAGAGAAGAAAGTCAAATACAAGGCAACTATAACCCAGACTTTGTCAGGAAAGAGTAAACATGTTTATTCTCGCGCTGCACATGCACGTTTTTCAGAACTGTGTTTTTTTTGAAGGAGTTCACTCACTTGTGTTTTAACCTTTCCCTTTTACTTTTACTTGTTGTTTATCAGGTGTGTAAACCTGAACCAGTCTGGTTGTGATTCAAGTCTTCACATGTCTTTCACTGAGGATTGGATGAACTCTTAAAACTTGAAACAATAGGAAATCACATAGAACTCGAAATAAATTAGCAACAATATAGCAACGCCCTGGCAACCGCAAATAATATCCTTGTGTGGAGGTGGAGAATTTTGCATGCATCCCAATCAGACCAATCAGAGCAGAGTAGACCAATCACAACAGACTGGGCCATCTGACCAATCAGAGCAGAGTAGACCAATCACAACAGATTGGGCCATCTGACCAATCAGAGCAAAGAAGACCAATCACAACAGATTGGACCATCTGACCAATCAGAGCAGAGTAGACCAATCACAACAGATTGGACCATCTGACCAATCAGAGCAGAGTAGACCAATCACAACAGATTGGACCATCTGACCAATCAGAGCAGAGTAGACCAATCACAACAGACTGGGCCTTCTGACCAATCAGAGCAGAGTAGACCAATCACAACAGACTGGACCATCTGACCAATCAGAGCAGAGTAGACCAATCACAACAGACTAGACCATCTGACCAATCAGAGCAGAGTAGACCAATTACAACAGACTGAACCATCTGACCAATCAGAGCAGAGTAGACCAATCACAACAGACTGGGCCTTCTGACCAATCAGAGCAGAGTAGACCAATCACAACAGACTGGACCATTCGACCAATCAGAACAGAGTAGACCAATCACAACAGACTGGACCATCTGACCAATCAGAGCAGAGTAGACCAATCACAACAGACTGGACCATCTGACCAATCAGAACAGAGTAGACCAATCACAACAGACTGGACCATCTGACCAATCAGAGCAGAGTAGACCAATCACAACAGACTGGGCCATCTGACCAATGAGAGCAGAGTAGACCAATCACAACAGACTGGACCATCTGACCAATCAGAGCAGAATAGACCAATCACAACAGACTGGGCCTTCTGACCAATCAGAGCAGAGTAGACCAATCACAACAGACTGGGCCTTCTGACCAATCAGAGCAGAGTAGACCAATCACAACAGACTGGACCATCTGACCAATCAGAGCAGAGTAGACCAATCACAACAGACTGGACCATCTGACCAATCAGAGCAGAATAGACCAATCACAACAGACTGGGCCTTCTGACCAATCAGAGCAGAGTAGACCAATCACAACAGACTGGGCCTTCTGACCAATCAGAGCAGAGTAGACCAATCACAACAGACTGGACCATCTGACCAATCAGAGCAGAATAGACCAATCACAACAGACTGGGCCATCTAACCAATCAGAACAGAGTAGACCAACAGTAGTGAACAGTAGTGTATATAATTTAGGGGAAATATATTTTCTATAGGCTGGACAAGATTTCTACTTCAAAAACAACTAGCGAGAAGAACAAGTTACAACTGTTTACTTTAATACATATTCTCACTTCCTATTCCATTATTGTAGTTTCTCTCTGACACTTTTATCCATGTGATCAGTGAAGTTTAGATTCACAGCTGGTCTTGGTGTTCTTTATGCATGTCATCTCTTCAATTCTTACATTCTGTTATACAATCATTTCATCCATCCTCGCTTACGCAGAAGTGAAGATTTCACAGTATAGATCTCATTTATCCCTCCGGTCACTAATTCATTTCCTGTGTTCTTTGGAATGACGAGCCCAGGTGGTCATGTAACCTGGTTAGATGCGCTGTGTTATCTTGTGATTAATATACGTTAAACATGAGCCGAATGTTCTGTAATCTCTGTTTGTAATAACCCCTCACACACCCTGAGGAAGCCAGACTGCCACATGGACATAAACTGGTGGATCAGCATTTGACAATCGGATTTCTGGCAGGGCATCAACTCTCTGCATTTCTAACTAAATAAAGTTCATTCATCCCTAGTGGAACACACGCGGGAAACTGAACGTGAGATGTATTTAACAGATGTTCATTAAGTGATTCAATATAAGTGGTGGGAATCTCTCAAAACGTTCCTAGTCATTTTTCACCCGTAAAAAAAACAATTAAGATAATACGCATATATAGCCACACAAATAGAATACAAAAAATAGAATATATATATATATATATATATATAGAATTATATAAAAAAAATAGAATATATATATTCTATTTTTATATAATTCAATATATATATATATATATATATATATGCATACAGTACAGGTCAAAAGTTTGGAAACATTACTATTTTTAATATTTTTGAAAGAAGTCTCTAATGCTCATAAAGCTTGCAGTTATCTGATTAAAAATACAGGAAATATATATATATATATATATATATATATTCATTGTATAGTTACTGTATATTTATAATACAATAAATATTTATAGTATCATTTTATGCTGATAAAAATCTTAAAATTTGTGATTTGAGAATCACATTCAAAATAATGAAAAATGACGACTATGACGATCTAAAACATCACAATGCATTTTGATGATGTAAAATATATAAATAAATGTGCTTTATTGTCACAATGACAAAAAAAGTTAAAATAGGTCTTATGCTCTTTATGAGAATCCTTGGGTGTTTGGGGGAGAAATATGACTTAGTATAACTGCAAACTACAACCATCAAATCTGTTACCTATGGAGAGACTGATCAAACACACCGATGGATTTGTTTATTACGGTTTATGGTAATGGGAAATCATGAGACCCGGGCAGAGGAATGTCATGAAGCTAAAGTAAATACAAGCAATAAAGGTGTGTAACTGACTGACGCACGAGCTCCCAGCAGCCCTAGCACCATGTTTACCTATTCAGAGGTGGGACAAACGACATCAGAAACCATACTGATAGCGACGGGGAACATCATTTCCTGCCAATTACACACCTGATCTCAGAACCTGTCGTGGTTTACAGAAGCGATCAATCAAACAACCAACAAGGAGTTGTCTATAAGATACAAACGCTTCCTGGGGTCAAAGGTCATGTTGAATCTGACACCTGAGGGTTGGGAAGAGGTTTATGAGGTGCTTGAGACAGTCATTGAATACAGTCCTTGAGTTAAGCTTGAGTTGTGACATGTCTATTAAGTTGTAAATAGATACTTCACTAAATACACAACAACAAGCACTGTTTGGCTCTCGTGGCAAACTCTCACAGCCACGTAAGAAAAGAAAGAGTGAAAAAACGAAAGAATAGCAACATCATTGTGTAAGTGGGATTTCAACAGAGCTTTTAATAAGACTTTCTGATCTTTAAATCCTTCTCATATGCTCTAATTCCTCAAATGTATCGGCTTCTGTGGGAACGGCACTTTGTTTCGCTTTAATCCGTTTTAAACTACTTGCCATTTTGGTTTTTGTTGTATGCAATTAACTTTATGATCCAAGCAAACAAGTCAATTCAAAAGTAACAGGATTGTTTGCCAGATATGCAACTACGCATTAGTCCAGCATTTATATTTAGCGTTTAGCATTTAACATGAGACCAGATCACGACCCGCAGAGAAAGATATAAACATCTTGAGAAATCCCAGATCCGCTGAGGTAAATTCAAATGAATCATTTAACTGAATCAGTTGATGAGCTTGACATATTAAATTGATCAAAAGTGACAGTAAATACATTTATAATGTTATAAAAAGGCTTCTAATTCAAATAAATGCTGTTCTTTTGACCTTTATAGTTATCAAAGAATTCTTAGGAAAAAATGTGTGTTTCCAACATTGATAATCAGAAATGTTTCTCCAGCAGAAAATCATCATATCAGATGTAATCTGGAGTAATGACCAGTCCTAGACTTCTGGGGCCCCAGGCAAAACTTTGTCCGGAGGCCCCTGACAATGCATTCATAACAACGCCAAAATGACCCCCAAACAAACAATAGGTTAAAAAACAATAGAAATAAAATTAAATAAACATGTAGTTCAGCCTACTAATAATAATAGCCTACTATACAAAAAATTAAGTAATCAAATGTAATAAAACTCTGTATAGTCTGCACTGTGAACATTAAATATACATTAATTCTTATTCAAGTTACTAAAGTTGTTCAGTGAAGAGCAGGGAATGATTCTCTCGTTGTTGTTTGATTAGGCGGTTTATTAGGCTGCTGTCACTTTAAGACCAAATGCACAGATCTAATATACTGACAAGCGTTCGATTACTTTCCCAACTGTTTATGTAACCGATTGCGTAAAACTCGCCAAGACGGGCATCTTGACATATTTGTTTGTTTAAAGGATTAGTTCACTTTTGAAAAAACTTTTGCTGATAAATTACTCACCCCCATGTCATCCAAGATGTCCATGTCTTTCTTTCCTCAGTCGAAAAGAAATTAAGGTTTTTGATGAAAACATTCCAGGATTTTTTTCCATATTATGGACTTAAATGGGAACCAGGTCCAACCGATGTCCAAACGACAGTTAATAACAGTTTCAGATGCAGCTTCAAATGTCTTTAAACGACACCAGACGATGAATAAGGGTCTTATCATGCGAAACAATCGGTTATTTCAAAGCTTATTCCAAAAATGTAACTTTTCTAAGGACAAATGCTAGGCTTGTAATATATTGTGAGGCGCGTTTGCAACGTCACGTAATACGTAATTACGTTCAAAAGGTCACGGGCGACGTAGCCGGAAGTACAGAATCAAAATCGTCCGACATCGTTGTTTTACCTTTTAATTCCTTTTTTGTAAACGGCGTTTGAGTTAGTTTGCACGTTCAACCTATGCGTTCAACTTGTAAACACTGACTCTGTACTTCTGGCTACGTCGCCCGTGACCTTTTGAACGTAATTACGTATTACGTGACGTTGCAAAC